AAGTAATTATGCCCCCATTTTGAAAAAAAGGGGGTATATTGCTTTGCACTTGTCGGTCCGTCGGTCCGTAGACCAAATGGTTTCCGAGTGATAACTAAAGAACCCTTAGGCCTAGGAACTTCAAACTTGGTATGGTGATTGGTCATGACCAGTAGATGACCCCTATTGATTTTGGGGTCAAGGGGTCAAAGGTCAAGGTCACATTGACCTTGAAAGCAAAAACGGTTTCCGATCAATAACTAAAGAACCTTAAGGCCTAGGAACTTCAAACTTGGTATGGTGATTGGTCATGACCAGTAGATGACCCCTATTGATTTTGGAGTCAAGGGGTCAAAGTCAAGGTCACATTGACCTTGAAAGCAAAAACAGTTTCCGATCAATAACTAAAGAACCTTAAGGCCTAGGAACTTCAAACTTGGTATGGTGATTGGTCATGACCAGTAGATGACCCCTATTGATTTTGGGGTCAAGGGGTCAAAGGTCAAGGTCACATTGACCTTAAAAGCAAAAACGGTTTCCGATCAATAACTAAAGAACCTTAAGGCCTAGGAACATTAAACTTGGTATGGTGATTGGTCATGATCAGTAGATGACCCCTATTGATTTTGGGGTCAAGGGGTCAAAGGTCAAGGTCACATTGACCTTGTAGGTAAAAACGGTTTCTGATCAATAACTAAAGAACCTTAAGGCCTAGGAACTTCAAACTTGGTATGGTGATTGGTCATGATCAGTAGATGACCCGTATAGATTTTGGGGTCAAAGGTCAAGGTCACATTGACCTTTAAATTAAAAATGGTTTCTGATCAATAACAAAAGAACCTTAGGCCTAGGAACTTCAAACTTGGTATGGTGATTGGTTATGACCAATCAGATGACCCCTATTGATTTTGGCGTTAAGGGGTCAAAGGTCAAGGTCACATTGACCTTGTAGGTAAAAACGGTTTTCCGATCAATAATGAAAAGAACCTTAGGCCTAGGGACTTCAAACTTGAGATGGTGATTGGTCATGATCAGTAGATGACCCCTATTGACTTTGGGGTCTAGGGGTCAAAGGTCAAGGTCACATTGACCTTGTAGGTAAAAATGCTTTCGGATCAATAACTTAAGAACCCTTATGCCTAGGAACTTCAAACTTGGTATGGTGATTGGTCATGACCAGCAGATGACCTATTGATTTTGGGGTCAAGGGGTCAAAAGGTCAAGGTCACATTGACTTTGTAGGTAAAAACGGTTTCCGATCAATTAACTAAAAACGCTTAGGCCTAGGAACTTCAAACTTTGTGTGATGATTGGTCATGACCAGTAGATGACCCTATTGAGTTTTAGGTGAAGGGTCAAAGGTCAAGGTCACATTGACCTTGTTAAAAAAAACGGTTTCTGATCAATAACTCAAGAACGCTTAGGCTAGGAACTTCAAACTTGGTATGGTGATTGGTCATGACCAGCAGATGACCCCTATTGATTTTTGGGTCAAAGGTCAAGGTCACATTGACCTTTTAAGTAAAAAAAGGTTTCTGATCAATAACTCAAGAACGCTTAGGCCTAGGAACTTCAAACTTGTATGGTGATTTGTCATGACCAGCAGATTACTCCTATTGATTTTGGGATCAAGGGGTCAAAAGGTCAAGGTCACAATGACCTTGTAAGTAAAAACGGTTTCTGATCAATAACTAAAGAATGCTTCGTCCTAGAAACTTCAAACTTGGCATGGTGATTGGTCATTCCCAGCAGATGACCCCTATTGATTTTGGGGTCAAAGGTCAAGGTCACATTGACCTTGTATGTTAAAACGGTTTCCGATCAATAATAAGAGAACCCTTAGGCCTAAGAACTTCAAACTTGGCATGGTGATTGGTCATGACCAGCAGATGACCCCTATTGATTTTGGGGTCAAGGGGTAAAGTTCAAGGTCACATTGACCTTGTAGGTAAAAACGGTTTCTGATCAATTTACTAAAAACGCCTAGGCCTAGGAACTTCAAACTTGGTATGATGATTTGGTCGTGACCAGCAGAATTTGACCCCTGTTGAGTTTTGGGTCAAGGGGTCAAAGGTCAAGGTCATGACCAGTAGATACTTTATAACCCTTATTAATTGTTTGATCACTGGGTCAGACGTCATGCATAATAACCATATCACATGACTAATTGGCTGCTGATAGGGGGCATACATGTTTTACAAACATATCTTGTTAAAGTTTAAAATAACGTCATTGCTTTTCATGCTTATGATTTGTTGTTTTAACAAATATAGATATTCGTACTTTCTTTATTGTAGCCATGGTGATTAATCACTGCATAATAGGCATATGAAGACAAAATTTTGCTGTTTCTTGGTTAAAGTTCTTGTTTAAAGACACAAAATAAAACCATGCATTTTCGATTTTCATATAATATTGAAAAGTGCCGTACGGCTAGCCAATACAGTGTGTCCGGACTAGCCGTATGTGACTCACGTTTAGAACTTTTGGGTAGCTATACGGGCCGGTACGGCTAGCCTCTTCCTAATTTTTAAGCAGCAAAATCCATGGAAAATGAAAAACCCTAACCCTCAAAAAACATAATCAGGTCTAGGAGTTCATGACATTTATGGACTGTCTGTAAATTCATGGACAGTCTAGAAATTTAAAGATTTTTCAATCCATAAATTTACAGATATTTATTATGAAAATTGATGTTTGGTTTTATACTACAGGGTTGTTGTTTTTTACTAACAAACTGACACCGAAAGTCGGGGTCTTCCCCTGGGTAAATAGCCAAGTTTTTTCCCCCAAAATTCTATTTTCCCTTTGAACTGTTAAGGGATTAAATAATTAAAAGGTAACAAATATTAAGATTTTTATTTCAGCAAATGAAACCCGCCAATTTCACAATTTTGACAAAAAATCCCTTTGCAATTATTGCCCAAAATATCCAAAAACATTGCAGAAAATTGTAAGGAGTGTATGAACATGGGGGCTGCCATTTTTTTCTTGGCTATTTTCTGTACTGAACTGTACTATTTCCGGATAAGCAAACTATTTTTATTTTTATTTGTATCTTATATAAATGCTTTATAAACAAAACAAACTGTTGGAAAGAAACATTTCTAGAAATCTGATATTTGATGTCTTAAGCCCTAAAAGGCCTATTAGGTATTTTCATAGTGATTACTCTAGACTTAAAAAGGGGCAGGGTGGAACATGTGTCAAAGGGAAACGCTCCACATTTAATACATGATTTTTAAAGACTTAGAATTTTTAGATGATAGGTATATAGCACAGACAAAGAAAAAGCAAAAGAACACTTTTATTTCAAATCATTTTTAAATATACAGGGCTCAAGCTAGGTTCAAAATTTAGGGAGAAGTCACTTCTCCCTCCAGCTGCTTTAGGGAGAAGTGGGGAGACTTTAAGGAGAAGTGAGGAGATTCATTTATCGATGTTTGTTGTATGTTATTGCAATTATGTTGACTCACTGTACATATCTTATTAAATGAATTGGATTTGTGTTACAACAGAATATTCAATTTTAATTTAAAAGTAGTTTGAAACAAGTAATAATAAGAATGAGTATCATGTAATGCAACCATTGCATTAAATGAAGATAAAAAAGACATAGTTGAATTCCTATCATGGATCAATATATCATGGTGGATTAACAGTTATTCCCTTCTGATTTACTATTAAAAGCTTGCGCCGGACATTTATATTCATATTCACTTAGTTGTAAAGGAAATGAAAGTAGATAACGAAAGAAACGGTTCTTTAATTTAACTACATTTGTAATAAATACAGTGTAATACGCCGTCAATTTTATCAAATTTAACTCGTCGACAAAAAAGGTTATCATAACTTTCATTTTAAAATTACCGTTACAGTTATATGTCGAGCGGTCCCTCGTAATTCTGACAATCATTCGATAGTGAAAATTTAATTGACGTTTGATCCGTCCATCATAAATAATTGTTACTGGTAGTTGTATGTTAGCGATTTAATGATGGTTTAATAATGTCGCCTCGATTGAAACGTGAATTGCGATTGGTTTCTCGCACGTATCGGTAATCTCGCCGTGGGCGGAGTCTAATTGTTCCTCGAGTGTCTGTTAATTAGACTTTTATGACATGTTGGTAAACAAACGGATTAAATGACATTTCGCGTTTGATTGAGATGCATGACAGTCCCTTTTTCCGGCGGCGAGGGTAAACTAAGCAAACACACACAACATGTTATTCACAGTTATTGTTGGTAATTTTCAATAATGGATCAATAAAATCGGGCGACTTCATCTTCGCTTTCATGTAGGATGTCGGCGAAGTCAGACGGAATTCGGCGACTATTTCGCCCGAATCGCCCAGTAGCTCGAGCCCTGATATATGTATTTAACAACTCATAGCATTACAATTGACCAGAATAATATATGACAGTCACATAAAACATTTTTAAGGATGAGTAAAAATAATATCATTATGGCTTGGTGGAATATAAAATTTTATGTAGTCCTGACACAAATATATTATACAAGTATTATATAAAGAGCTAGCACTGGCAATTTTTTTCTTTGAGCCAATTCTTTTCGCAGTGAAAATTGCCTGCCTGTATTTAATTTTCAAATAAGGGCAATTTTAGGCAATGTACAGCATGAGATATTTAGAAGAAAAAAAAAACAAGCTATATCCAACTTTATTTTGGTAGTAACATTTTATAACATTAAAACATCTAACTTATAATTTATAGTCAGTAAATATCACAAGCAGTTATGATGTGAAGTGACAAATTATACATCACATAACAATTAATTACATTTTTTTATTATAATTTATGTTTTCTCTTGAAAAATGAAGAGACTTAGTTGAACTTCTGACTATAAAGTTAAAGAATCCCTTGTAAACTTGGTGTCCTCAGGATCACAGAACTGCATTTGTGCTGAACCCTGCTGAGAAAAATAGTTCAGTGCAGCCATATGTATCCCAGTTTTATATATGCATAGAGTTAGATATATGTTGTTGTTTTTTCTGTTGTAGCCACAAACACCGGCCAGCCAAGCTGAAAGTGTCACAGTGCAAAATGCTGAGAATCTGATGTCAACCTTTATTAAATACTACAAGGTAATTGAGATGAATCTTCATATAAGAATCTACTTGTCACAATAAAATTGTCTTGTGTTATTGTTTAATATTCAGTGTTTTTTTTCTTTATATAACTACTACCCTAAAACGGTACCATTCCCAATAGAAAATAGACATTAAAATTCCCAATTTACAATGTTAAATTCCCAAAATGGCTGTTCAAAATGCCCACAAGGCCAAGTGATTTTTCTAAAATCATTTAAATCCAACATATTCATATAAATCACCACTCAATAGTTCTATCTGGACAGTAAAAGCTGTTAGCTATCTTTATTCATGATGTCTAATCTCATTTGTAGCTGAAAAAAATGCATTAAAAAATTCCCAATTTTAGTCAAAATAACACATTTTTTCCCAATCAGTCTGGTACCGGCACCATTCCCAAAGTAGAGAAAAAAAACGCTGATATTACAACTCTTGTGACTGAAAGTAGGTTAAAATTTTTGAGTAATTACAAGGCCTGCAAAATCTGATTTCAATTTACTTCATCTTGAATGTTTTCTTAACTTGTCTATATAGATATGATATTTATAAAGTAAATTCTTGAAGGAAGATGAAAAGTGTTATGTCAACCTTAATCTTGTTTACGGTAACATTATGGTCATATAATGTGTTACTGTAACATCATTCACTATCTTATTTTGATAATTGTAAAAATCCTGTTCTTTTTGTCATCAGTAACACTAAATGATTTTTTCTTTTCAATAGGGTATTGGCTTGGTACCAGAGGAAGAGTGGAAGCATTTCTTCACAAGTTTGTTTACAGACTTGCCATTCACCTTCAGAATCTGTGAAAATCATAGAAAGATCAACAATGTCCTTGAAGGAAAACCAGGAACTCTTGGGTATTTTACGCATTTTAACTGTGCATCTTTCAAATCACGAACATATTCAAGGTTTTCTGTTAAGTTTAAACATTCTGAAGACAATTAGACTGTATAATTATTGCCTTAACATTATGTAGATAATTAAGGAAAAGCATTACAATTTGGAAGTCACAAGCCATAGTCAAGGATTGAATGACTGGGCTAAATTCAGAGAAAAGAAACAAGATTGTCCTCACAGTGTGGTTTTTATCACTTAATTGGGTACAGGCCTTGAATTTGGGGAAAATTTATCATTAAAATTGCTGATTTAGGAAATAAAAAACTTGTGTCAGTTTAGATTTTGGGAAAAACTGCATGATTTTAAAGAGAATTTCAATTAAGAAGAGGCCTTATTTGTTATACAAGGTGAAAAATCACTGCCTCAGAATAAGTTATACATACTAGGTATTTGCGGCAAAACTGTTTAATAAAATTTTGTTTAATGCTATATAAGAAATACAGTTTTATAATGTCATAATCTTTTTCAGGCAAGCTGAAGTGTTAAGGGAGTTTCTCAGAAATAGTGTTTTCCCTAAGGTTGCAAATGTAAGTGTGAACGATGTGCCATTTGAAGTCACCCCCTTACCATGGTATGTATCTTATGTTGTTTTTATGTGTGAGATATTTGTTTAAATACTTCAAATATTGTTCTTAATTTACTTAATTTAGTAGCTAGTGATTTATGCTTTTGGCACCATTGTCCACAAGTGCAGTTTTCAAAGTCTACTAAGTCTAGAAATCATATCGGGAAGAAAAAAAACATTTCAGTTTACAAGTGTCTGTTAATAAACCTTTTAAAGCAGATTTTATGCATAATTCTCATTACTTCCTTGGTAAAACAAACTTTCCATGAATACCCTGGTGTATTATGTAAAATTCCCAATTTGAATAAAGAAGATTCATTTTTCACAACTTCTACCGTCACCATTCCTAAAAGAAGGTGGAGGGTATGTTGACTTATAGCACTTCTATATCAATATTTGTATTTAAATTGATAAAAAAAATTGAAAAATTATACGCCCGTTTCAAAAACTGGTCGTATTATATAGAGCTGTCATCGATATCGACAATATCGATGTATCGTTGATATTTTTTGTCGATCAATAATCGATACACATTTTAAAAAATCGATACTTTTGACTAATAAATTAAATGTCTAGAAATTATAAAATTCACCCAAAATATATACGGAAGCAGTTATTTATATCTAATGTTATGCTTTTGTTATATAGTGGAATTATTTCACAGCAATAATGACAAAAAATATTATCTGAAAAAAATCATGCAGTGGACAAGACACTGTACAGAACATGTTTTTGACTGAATTCATTAAAACAGGTATGAAAGTGAATGACAGACAAGTGACTATAGGATATTATCGATATATCAGTGTATCGTTGATTTTAGTCACTTGATATTGATATATCGTTGATATGCTTTGCACTGAATCAATGACAGCTCTAGTATTATAGATTCCCCCCTGGTGGGCGGGCAGGCAGCATGGCGGAGCATATCTCCTACACACACAGAGGTATTTTAATGAAACTTAATAGAAATGTTAACCACTGTAAGAAGCCGTGTCACGTGCATGAACCAGGCCTCTATGTCAAAGATCAAGGTCATTGAAAAACACTTGTCCGGAGCAAAACTTCTACATGCATTGAGGGATTTCAATATAACTTGGCACAAATGTTCACTATTGTTAGTGTTGTGTGCAAAATGTAGGTCCCTGCAGCCAAGGTCAAGGCCACACATAGGGGTTGAAAATTCAGATTAAAATATGAAATAGTGTATTGGGACCATTTAGTCATAATTTATTGAGGGATTGAAACACAAATGGTCATTATCATGACTACTGGTGTGAATGTTCACTATTGTTAGGCAGAGTGTCGCATGCAAAATTTAGGTCCCTGCAGTCACACATAGGGGTCAAAAATAAAAAAAATCACTAGAGATGATAATATTTCCAGATATATATCCGGATATTGCCCAGAGAATATCTCCTATATGCATATCTATAATGCACACATTTCTGTCAAAAGCTTCTGTGACAGGCATATATTGCAACAATGTTGCCCTTCTTTCACAATTGTTATACTTCTGTACAGTCTAGATAAAAGAAACCATAGCTCCTTACATTCCTTAGCTTTAATTACAGAACGGATTGCATATACTGATTTTTGGAACAATATTAAGTAAACTGAATTAAACTTTACCACAAAAAACTTTTTGTCAATAGGTACCCGAAACAGCTAGCCTGGAAAACAAATGTGGACCAGAAGACATTCCATCAGTGTCCCGAGTTGAAACCAATTAGTAACTTTGTAGTCCAAGAAGACAAAGCTGTAAGTATAATCTTCTGGACACTCCCTCTCTGTTTCAGGGGAAAAATACCTGTAGGAAGGGAATGTTTTATTGTTTTCCCTTGTACTGGGAATCTCAGGCAACTTGTGCTGAAAATACAATAGTTGAAATTTCCAGTGTTTCCATGCTGTTAATTATCACAAATTTTCAATTATCACAAATTTTACATATAAAATGCAAATTTCATTTGGCTAATGCTTTTGACAGATCAGATATAAATTACAAAAAGTTTTTTTTCGGGGGATCATGGACGATGTTTATTCAAGTTAATAGTGGCACAAACATACATGAATTAATGGTCTTATTAAATGAAGTCAGTGCTTGTGAGATGTCTTGTAAATCTTGAACACTAATAGGATATTATATAAAAATTATAATAATAATGCTGATATGTTTTGTTTTCAGGGCTTTGTGTCGAAGCAGGAGATTTCCAATATGATCCCACCCCTGCTTGTGGACATAAATCCTAATCACAAGGTATGATGTAGCAATTTATTTGTATGCATACCTCAACTATGTCTATACACTGGGATTACAAGAGACTGTGAAGTGCTTTTTTCTTGCAGCCCAACTTACTTGATTTTTTGTTATTGTAGTCCAGACTTGAACATATATATTCTATCTTAAAAGTTCAACTGAGTACATGTTTTAAAAAGTAGTGGCCAGATGTCTGTCATGTGTGATCATTTGTGTGTCTTAACCCACAGTGTCCGAAAACAACATGCCCTCCATAGATTTAATAACAAACTTCACTGGAATGCAGGGCTTTTTTTCACAGGTTGGGGAAGCAGCCCTGCCCTTAATTTTGGGGAAAAATAACACGGTATATTTGCAAAAGGGGAAGAAAAAAACTTGATGTGACTTAAATTTTTGGGGAAAACTGCATGATTTTAAAGAATTTTTCTTTGGGGAAGCAGCCCAATAACAGCCCCTGCTATAGAAGGGAAAAAAAAACCTGGAATGATTCTTGGCATGTCTTCTGACAGAGTGCTAGAAAAGTTGTGCATTAAACATTGTAAAATATGCTTTAAGATTCAACTATGGTCATATAAATACCCTTAATAAAATATTGAATAGGCATTCAGTTCAATTAAATGTGTGTTACTGGTCAGTAACAAACCTTTTTAATTTCCCCACTATTTACATTTTTAACAATCCTTTTTTTATTTTTGCAAGTTCAGATAGTTATACTTTCTTGTATGATAGAACTTAATGCAAAATCAATTTAAGATGTACTGGTATTGCTGAAAAATCACTTATTTCTTTTTCTCTTGTGAAATTATTTAGAATTGCAAATAAACATAATATCAAAATTCTCCTGGTATTGTCTTGAATGTTTTCTGTATTGTTTTTTTTTTGTTCTAGATTCTGGAGATGTGTGCAGCGCCAGGTTACCAGACCACACAGATCTTGGAACAAGTCTTAAACAGCCCTAAAAAGATACCTGGTAAATTATTTGTGTTGTATTTTGAGTAGTTAAGAGCAAAATCTGTTTATTTTTGTGTATACATTATATTATAGGGATTTGCATTTATTTGTAACGGCCACAACTTAAGAATGTCTGCATCGTGTAAATGCATGATGCCATTTTAAGTAGTAGAATAATCAAGTACAATTTACCGTAAAAAAGTCCTTCGATATATTTGAGGCATTACGCACTTTTTTTTGGCCGCAAAGATAATTTCTGATCTAGTTGTGTGACAGGTGTTAATTACACAGCCGTGTGTTCTGACGGCCTTTGTAAGCGTTCAAATGTGTGATAAAATACTCTGTTACCATTCAAATTGCCGTAGTGGTATTTGAAATTAAACAGTATGTATAAGTTTCATTTGAGAATTCCATGACCCAGTGTAGTGTGATAATCATATGGAATATATTTACTAAAAGCTGGTTAAGTTATCGCCCTTTCCTTTTGTTACGCCTTTTATGACTTGCTTGAAAACACCAACAACTCCAAATTTTGTCATTAAATTTGTATTGAGGTCCTGATGTGTCAAAAAGTTTTATTGCAAATCACTGCAACTTTGACTTACCAAAGTTCTACTGTATGTGATGGGTTCATTTTAATTTCATTTTAATCCACGGTTGTTATCATTATTTATGTATTGTTCTTTCAGATGGCTTCGTTGTGGCCAATGATATAGATTTTAGGATTAACTACAGGTGGTCACAAGGAACCAATGTTTTTTTCACACATGAAGATGCAAAGAAATTTCCTGACTTGTATACAACAGAAGAGGTATGCTTCCTAGTACATGTGTTATTATTTCTGAATTTCAAAATTTTTGGAACGTTCAAAACTCTTTTCTACATAACAGTGTACACACACAGTAATGCTTAATACAGGATTTTAGGATTATTTTTAAACGTTCATCTCAGATACTTTTCATCCCAAATGGTATCTTGTAGAGAAAAAAGACATGTGTTAAAATCAATGTTCAAGTCCAGAAAAACAAACTACAATTGCAGAATGTTATTGCATTATGACTGCCAGGCATAGAATAGACTTGAGAGAACGGAAACCAGATGTCTTAGTTAGGACTTCTCTGTCCTTAATCTAGACAGAGTGAAATTTAACTTTTATATATGCTGTGACTTATCTTGGTTCAAGCTACACCTTGATATTTGAGCCACTTCACGACAAAACCAACGTAATGCGTTTGCGACCAGCATGGATCCAGACCAGCCTGCGCATCCGGGCAGTTTGATCAGTTCCCATGCTGTTCGCTATTAGTTTCTCTACTTGTAATAGGGTATTTAAGCAAACAGCATGGATCCTGATCAGACTGCGCTGATGCACATGCTGGTCTGGATCCATGCTGGTCGCAAATGCATAACCCTGGTTTTGTTGTGACGCAGCTCAAATTTTGTTATTGTTTTACAGCATGACCAGGACAGCAAAATCTCTTATGACAGAATCTTCATTGATGCACCATCAAGGTGTGTAACTTTATTATAAGTAAATACATGTTGTTAGGGAGAAATACACATTTTGAACATCTTGATTATTTACAGAAAATGATACTGGTATTTATTTAAAAATAATCAATGTCGAGTTTGATGTTTTAAAAAAATATCCAGTTATTTACATGTAAATGATATTAGAATTGTATAAATACTTTTATAATAAAGTTATAACTGTTTGTTTGATTGTGTGATTGATTGTGATATAGTTTCAATGTATTTATTTTACCACAGCCATTCAGGTATTGTTGATCTGTGAAAAAATATAGCCTATAGGAGGCCAAGTCACTTGGCCCCTATTAGCATTAATGGACAAAGCTTTGGGCTTTCAAATATTTTAAAGGGATGATAAATATCAATGATATTTTGAACGATGATTTTCATCTACTGCCTTCGATAATGTAATTTTGATAACCATTTTCTGAACTGTTTCCCTTTGCTTGTTATTTCTATGTTAAACTTGCTGTTGTGATAATTTTGTGTCACTGGTTTTGTATATTCAGTGAGGATGGATCTATGAGAAGCATTAAGAAGATCAGAGGTAACTGGAATGTCACCAAGGCTCAGAAAAACCACAAGTATGTACACCCAGTGACTAGATAGGGAAATCTTAATGTTAGGAGTGAGAAAAAATAATGTATTGTGTCCTTGTAGAAATTATTAAAATGATAAAGTAATGCAAGGCAATCCACCCATGGATATGTTAAACATTGACTTTAAAAGATTAGTTATTCCTTTAGATAGAATAAAAAATAATCGCAAAAGTTGCTTTATAGGTTTTAATTTTCATTTTTGTGTACCAAACCCCTTTTTGGGAAATTGTCATTGTTAGGTAAGGTGGCCTTTTCATATAAGCTGAAAGAAATAAAGAATTTCAACAATAATTTTATAATGATATTTTAAAAATTTGTTGTCTTTTGAAGATCTAAAAACAATGCTTAGACGGGGCTTATTTCGGGATTTGAATGGAACTTTCACCCCAACATCTCTAAACCAATTGAAAATAGGCTTTTTGGCACTCTTTTAAAAGAACCCAAGTAGCTTTTTTTTGCTCCTTTTATTGAAAAGTTAAAATTTGTTTTATATGAAAAAGACACGAGGAGGGGATAAGGTGAAAGTCCCCGATTGGGGGTTTTCCATGATGTGACACAGTATGGTACATCGCGACTTTCAGTTTTTTTGGGGAAGAGACATTGTTTTACTCTTGTGCTTTATTCGGGTTTTAATGGCACTGACTAAAGCGGCAAAAGCCCCGACATTTTTTAAGCTAGTGGATAGTTTCCTGAAAATAAAGGGGCATCGAAAGAGTCCCAGTCAAATTAAACCCCCACGGGGTGTGGGGAAAAATGGTTTGTACATTTTTTTGTGGAAATGTTTTCAGAAAACGGGGGGACATTAATCAATTTGGAGAAAAAAGGGCCAAAACCCCTATTTAAATGATTTAAGGGTAAATTAAAAAATTTTGATTCAAGGGGTCATTTTATGAAAAAAAATGCTAAATATGAAGAATGGGAAAAACAGAGGAAAAATATAGATTGATTGAAAAATAGTAATGTGGTTAAAAATTTGAGTTTTGGTTTTTAGTTTTGTTTTTTCTTTTTAAATTTTTTGCAAAATTTAAAAGTATTGCATTAAAATTTTTAAAACAAAATTAACCAGAGATTAAATTTTTTATTTGAAACCTTTCCCAAGAAAATTGATTTTTAGTGCCTTAAATATTCCTGATTTTTTACTAAAATATTTGGATAGTAGAACGATACCAGCAATATTTCTAGGGGAAGAGTTCCTAGAAATTTTTGTAAAAGACAGTATTGAGATATCTTTCACATCTTTTTGAAAAGTGTAAGACCACAGCTGACTACAGGGGTTTTCTTGTCATGGCTTGGGAAGTGGGAAGCAGTCCTTCACCTTATTTTAGTGAAAAAATGATATGGTATTTTTGTAAAAGGGGGGAAAAAAACTTGATGATCATGCACCCAAAAACTGCATGATCGTCAAGTTGTTTAAAGAATTTTTCTTTTGGTTTTAGCCACCTTAAAATGGCCCCTGTGTTAGAAAGAAAAAAAATCATGGACTATAAAGCTAGTTTTAATCTTTTATCAGTTGAATATAATTGTTTGTGTATTATCAATAGTAATAATGTTGAGATGTTGATGTCGATATTTTTAGAAGCGGTTGAACTGGTTGATGTAAAGAACCGTCTACCAGACTTCCATGTGAGACCTGGAATGTCCAAGTGGAAGGTAAGCTGTTCTAATTGAGAAACTTACATTTGTAGGTGAATTTCCATTCTTTATAAATGTTATAAGCTAAAGGTTACCTAAGGTTTGACATAAATGTTGAAATAATAACACTGGTCCTCAGATATGTGTTCTGACCAATTCATGAAATGGATTATATAAGCAATGGAGAAGGTTACATTTTCTCTAAATATTTCTAGTATATGACAGTGTACTTTGTTCCATAGGCCCTTTTACTTATACAATGAAGCCATTTCCCTGATAAAAGATAAAATATACAGTACACTGCAAGTTTGATGACCCAGCATATAAATGTTAATCTAGGTAATGGTTATATTTTGTTGAATCTATCTCCCTATCTACGTTGAAATATGAACATTGTAAAGTTCATAATATATAGTGTAAAGTTCATGTTATATAGTATATTTCCCCATCTACAATGGAAATATGAACATTGTAATGTTCATACTTAATAAATAGTATATCGCCAATACAGTGGAAACATGAACATTAAAAGTTCATGGTAGTTTTATGGTAAAAAAGCCTTTGTGTTATGGGATGTTAAGGCTATATTCAGCAAGCATTGGTGGAGATAAAGAGTATATGAAAACAAGGATGTAAATCTGTGTTTTTCCAGAGCTTTGAATTGACATTAGTCATTGAGTTAAGAAGATGAAATAGCTGTACTAGAACCGTGCAGCTTTTTACTGTAAAATTAACAGTAAAAAATTAACGTTTATACTCCAATCAAAATCACCATGTGAAATACCTGAAAGGAGGCCATTCCCAGTCACTGTATGGTTATGGGAATCGGTTTCAAACTGTTCTATGGATGTACATTGTTAAGATGAAATTCGAGTATGAAGATGTGGTAAATCTGTTCCTATTTGACACAATCAACATTCCATGTTTGCATTTTGGACAACTCCTGAGAGGCCATCATCCCAGGTTACCAGTTTGTGATGGAGATACTTAACAAAGGCATTAGATACCTTACGTGAACGTTTGTAAAGTATTCTAGGGTTACTGGCATTTTTTTTTACTGGTTATTTTAAAGAAATGAATGTATAATTATATCATAAAATATTCACCTGAAGTCAAGTTTTTGGATGTGAACTGTATTATACTTGTTTGTAAAGTTATGGTTGAAAATATTTTTAATTTGAACTTTGTCCACTTTTTTGTTACTGATGATTAAAAATAATATGTGATGGGACTTTTTTTTGTAAAATTTTATATTTAAAAAATTATAAATTAAACTAGAATTTTTTTCTTTTTTTCTTTTCAAAATTGAGAAATGTTTTATATTATTATTTAAAATAAAATAAAATAATGAAAAAATTGCTTGTTCTTTTTCCATTTTTTATTTATTTTTAACTTAACTTTTTATGCTTTTGTTTGTTGTTATTACAAATAGTATTTTAAACAAAAACACTGACTTACATATGTAGAGTATTTAGTTTATATCTGGAACAGTTAACGTATAGATGGATATATTTTTTTTCCAAAATTACGTTGCATGGCTAAGTTTTAAAAATTCTAATTCTTAATTTTAAAAATTTTAATAAAAAATAAACTTTTGTATGAAATTTTTAAATTTTAAACAAAAAGTTACTTGGAAGGCAAAACATTTAAAACATAGTTAGTTTACCAGTTTTCTCATAGTCAGTTAATTTTGGGAGCAGAGCAAACAGTTTAGTGTTGCAAAATAGCTCAATTATTTTTGCATACATTTAGTTTTTATTTATTGAATATCTTTACTGCATTGTATTCTGCAGGAAAATGTAACTGTTGATTTTTTTCTATTTATAACCTGAATTGATCTTTGTTTTCTAGTCGACCTGTACCATTTGACATGACAGAGAACATCTTTGCATGAGGTATAGTGGTATGAAAAAATAAAAACTTGTGATTTTTTTTAAGTAGAAAATATTTTTTTATAATTCATTATTTACAGATAGAAATGGACTTGATATGACGACCTACGAATTGACGCTTGACATTCATTAATGGTTTTTGTTCTAGGCTTATTGTACTCATCAATTTTCATTGAAATGAAATATTTGTTATCATTTCATTGCATTTTCAGACAGTAAAGATTTTGCCATTTGAACCCTAGATGGTGTCAGGAACTTGTGTATAATATATATATATATATTTGTTTTCTATCAATAAAGGTTACTTCTTTTTTTTTAGCAGATTTTAAGTATATTGTACCATCGTTGAGGAAAAGTTTAAATGGTGACAAAGACTTATGTGTTTTTGTATCCAATGGCTTACATACTAGCTTTGAATAGTCCACTAGGATTTGATATCCCTTCCCACTCTGATGGTGAACAAGATACAGTATTTTTCCTTTTTATTATGAAACCAATAACGTGTTTTCGAAGGTCAAGAGGTCAAGCTCGTCAACAATATGAAGAATGAGGAGAAGAAAGTAATATTCACAACAAAATTGATTTGGCCATTTTGGTTATGGTGGTGAATTACCAGCCAGTCAGTAACTTGCCCCACCGAGAAGAAATTTTACTGTTTCATTGCTTCAAGAAACAGAATAACTAAAGATAAACTTTTCAGATACATATATACATGAATGTTTTGAAATGTTCATATATACTATGTATCCAGCTGTACAGATGTCAGTTACTTAGAACTGTTTTATAAGTCTTAGAACTGTTTAATCAGTCTATAGTGATTGTATATGAAATTATTTGTTTGTCAATGTAGGTGGGCAAAATATTGCTAAGTAGTTCCCATAATTTACACTATGCTTTGTTAACAACTTGTATATGTGAAGTGATAATAGATCTTTGTTTTTAGGGTCACCTCATCCCCTATGGGACACTGAGGTTTATTGCAAACTTCTAAGCTTTCAACATTTTATAAATTATGCTGACTATAAATATCGTGTTGGCCTGCTTTTTCTGTTTTTACAGTGTAATATGTAGAATGTAAAGTTGGTCCACCCTTTTATGCGCACTGTGTTTAAAGTTTGTGAAAATGCAAACTGAGCAATGTTAAGGCAACATACACATCACATTCTGTTTTTACTGTCATTTGGAATATGGCCAACAAAATTTGGGAAGTATTTTCCCTAGAAGTGACTAAATGTGATTACAAATATAGCAAACACAATCTGCAGGAAAAGTTTCCATAGAAATGACAATCTTGATAATTCTAGTCTATAATGTACAGACTGACCTTTATCTTATTTTATTCTAATATTTGATTGATTAAAATTGGTATTATCATTGTGAAATATTTTTTAATGTAATTTAGTATAAGTTATATTTATAGAATAATTTTCAAACTTAAACTTTTTTCTCAGCTATAATAATAAAAGTACATTATCTAGATTATGTATTTTATAATTCATCATGGTTTGTTGTATGCTTTGTCAAGTTGAAGATGTCATAACAATGTAACACATGTTTCTACAGGTAATGAGCCAAGGACTAGTGTTCTATGATACATTTGATTCAAGCCCCCTGTGGTTCCAAAAGGAAAACGAAGATTCACTGTTTGCCCCAACAGAGGAAGAGGCTAGCATATTAAATCTTGAAAGATGGTATTTTACATTTTTTATAACCCAAAACCTTCTGAATTTTATTATGGACAAATCTCAGTTTTATTTTTGAAACTGTCCCAATATCAATTTTAAAAATGTAAATATGAAAATTTGAGCTTTGTCATCCATCAGTATATATGGGAATAAGTTATTTTCAGTCATTTATTAAATGCCTAAAAAAAATGTTGGTGTATAATTTTATGCATCTGGTCATCTGTCTGTTTTCTTGTCCAGTCTGTATTTGCTGAATATGTGGACAGAAATTGAAACTATGTGGCAGAAATGTTAAACCTAATGAATGAATGTGCAGAGCGCAGGTTTGACCTTTCTCAGATCTAGGTCACACTTAGGTATAGGAATACACATCTTTGTGCAGATAAATACTATGCCTCTATATTTGGCATATAACATTGCCTAGTAGACCTCTATAAAAGTTTTATGAATTATGAATTTGGGGGAAGAAATGCCTCCACCTTGGAGGTCATATAGTTTCATAAGGAAAATTAAAATAAAACATTTTTCAAACAAAGTTCTTGACTGGGTAGCTACCTAGTAGAAACATTATTTTTTATTGCTCAATTTACGTTTGGGCGTATATTGCCTCACATTTACAGTGCTCTTGTTTCTTTATTTTTGGAATTTAACAAGTTTGTCTTTTACAGTCTGAGAGTGATGCCACACGATAATGATACTGGTGGATTCTTTGTTGCTGTCTTTACTAAGTGGGGACCATGTCCTTGGCAGAAACAAGAAGAAGAGGGTAAGTGTTCTAAAGTATTTCTGCATGTAGTCTCAACCTTGTAGGACTAAGATTCTTGTCGTAAATAAACCCTTGATATTCTAAAATAGACTTGCCCAGATTCCATGAATTGGACTTTCTATTATAAATTTTGGGGATATCCAGATAAAAATTTGAAGGTGATTTGCCAACAGTAAAGAGCCTGGTCAGATTGTTTTCGTGAGCAAACTGACCTGGTTCTACTGATGGTTAATCCTAATCACTTTCATTTCCAGTAGGCTAAGGGTTAAAGTGTTTTGTTTTTCCCCCTATAGCAATGGAAACTGAAGCTGCTGTAAAACAAGAAGCGAATGATGATGAAAAGAAACCTGATGCTACAGGTGATGGAGCAGAAAAGAAAAAGAAGTGCCCATACACATTACCAATCCGTGTAGATGTGAATGTTTGTTGTTCAGAAATTGAATGGGTTACTGAAGTTACAGATGAATCTTTGAAATCGACCGAAACTTCTGAAACAAGTCAGTTTGATTTGTCTCCAATGAAGATTTCAAAATCGTAAGTTCTGAAACCTTATATCTACTAAAGATAATAGGAGTATTACATTACCTAATTAGACAGAATTTTGTAAATCTGTATGAAGATGCAAGGGTTTTATAAAATTGCATAGATTGTTAGAATTGCCCTGTTCTACAGATGAAATTTTTTCCATCTCTAAACTTTATATTTTTTGGAGTCGAGACAAGTAAGTTCTTAAGGTTTATGACCTATGACTTCTTTTCTAGACCTTGTTTTGGCACACAAACTTGTGTGAGGTAATTTATGTTAGTATCTAACTGCTGGTTTTATTAATACACGAGTTAAGGCTGACAGTTACCTGACTATTTCAGTTGCATACCAAATTGGTTACAGAAGAAACTTCAGGAGCAAGCTTGTCGTTATGAGGAGGTCAAACCCACCGATTCTGAATGGGTCACATACAGGTAAATAAATATCACTCTGCACAATCAATATAATATTAATAATAAAATAAAAAAGTTAAAATTTACCAAAAGACAATCTGATATTCTTGGTATGAATAGAAATATTTCCAATAAGAGTTTCAGACAGAACATACCGTAATGAAATAATAAAAAGATGGCTAACAACACAAGTGATCTACTAGAAACAAAGCTTGTGTTTTAGGTAACATATAAATTGCACACTTTATGCATTGTTAATTGGATAAAGGTGTAACTGAAACATGCTCCACAATGCTCTATAAAGTGTGCGTGTTATACATTACCTAAAACACAAGCTTTGTTTAAGGTTTTGGTTTGTTAAATTTGTGTTAACAAACTGATTATGAAAATTTCTAGTGGTTGTTTGCATTGGCAAGGTTATATTGCATTGAGAAGATTTATTTTGAGAATCGTGCCCAAAATGCAGGACTAGTAGTATAACATGCAGGACAAGTAGAAATTTGAAACTACTCGCCCTGCAGGGTGAGTAGCTCTAAAAAAAATGTTTTCGATCCCTGTAATGATGGTAAGAACTGCAGGCAGTAATTTGTTATATTTTTTGTTTGATTATTTTAGAAGATATGTTTGATCTGAAGAAAGTTAATCCACTACCCAACATGTTGAAGTATGTGCAGGATGGCAAATATACTCTGTTCTACTTCTATAACCAAAGTGTCAAAGCTCTCATTCGATTCAACTCAGATGTTGCTGTAAGTATATATCACTATAAGTCACCATATTACTTATCAGTCTGGATAGGCAACTCTTCCTTTTTCAAACAATCGGGCCGAGAAACATTATTTTACAGTATGTTAAAATAAAAACTTTTTGTGCTAGACTTTGGTAAGTGGAGATTTTCCATCATCCATAAATCAAGCTGTAGAAAACTGTGTATAGGGGGGTATCTTCGTAACATTTGTAGTTGTAGGATGTCTTACAACTTACATTGACAAATGTATTAGATACATAGATAAAACAAACAGGGAGGAATCTGTTAATTTGTTTTTGGAAGTTTCATTTATCTCTATATTTAATTTTTGACTTAGTATCACATGAATTCTTCTGTAGTACTTGAGCTAGACCATTCATGATTTGATGAAACTTGACATAGACAGTTGAATTGTGGTATTGCACTGATGTGTGAAGTTCTGAACTCTATACCTATATAGTTCTTGAGATGGCAGGATGGGAAGGGAAAATACCCTCATATCTTTCCCGTCATAATATAGGTTTATTTGCAACCTCATATCTTTTTTTATTTCACTTAAAGGTGCTCACTAGAAATGTCACACATGTCCTCGGAATTGTTACGGTGTTACTTTTATTTAATTTTACAACCCTATTAAAACAATGTGAATGTTGTTTTTTTTATTTGTTTTTTTAAACTGAAAATAATGCACTTACAGAGAAAGAGCAAAGCTCAATGTGGGGGTATGTTAATGATGAGATGTGCTGAGGGTGGCAAAACAGATGTTAAGGTAAGCTTTAATGAATAACATAGGAAGTCAATAGGGTAACTGATTTGAGTGCTGTAATATATGATATGTTAAAAAAAACAGGAGCCAATGAAAAACAAGTTCAATGTGTGCTGAAATGTAACAAAATACAAATGTAAATTACTGTCTAAAAATGATATAGATTTTATTTTGAAATCTATTGAGAAGTTTTCCTTTACGATTTTTTGAAGTCAACTTTTTAGTAACCAGTGAATACCTAAAAGGTTACTGTTGCTGAAATATAAAAGTATGTCTTATAATGCTGTAGAATACTAGGCCTACCCTCTATTAAACTAGAGCTGGTCAAGCTTACATACCAAGCCAGGCTACACCACAAGCTGCCCAAATTTAATGTCACATAAAATAATAATGGGCAATTCCAAATTAAAACCCAATTTTTGCCATTACATAGTGATATATTCATCTGGCCAATTATAAGATATACATTTGGATGAGTTATTTGTTATAGTACATGTAGTAATAAAAAAGGTACACACATTTTGAAGTATTTGTTCATGATTGCAGAGTACGATGCCAGTGATTCAGTTCATGAACAAACGTCTAATCAGTGTGACGAGGGTCGATCTCGTACATATGCTTGAAAACAAGGAAGTTGTCATCAAAGACTTGTCTGACAAACTTCAGAAGGAGTTAGAACCTATTCGTAAGTTACAGTTCGGTATTTTATATCTTGTAGGTAAATTTTACTGATATTAGATTATAGTTGCCATTTCAACAGTACTCTATATGTTCCATGAGAGTGCTATCTAGCTAGCTTACGGAACAGTGATTGTTCTGCTCAGGTGCTCGGTCGTGCCTGAAATAATGCACGGAAGGGCACATGAGGTCTTCCTCCACTGGTAAAGCTGGAAAGTTGCCATATGACCTATACTATATCGCTGTGACGTAAAACCTAACCAAACAAAAAAAACTGTTTGCCTCTCAACTTAGGCACTGTTGGTCAGATCATGATTGTTCATTTTACACAAGTAGTACAACTGATTAGTATAAGGAAACAGACTCGAAATTATCATTACAAGTTGCTAGACTTTGTTTTGCTTGTCTTGGGTAAAAAACTAAACTTTGCTTACCTTTATTTTTTAACAAATAAAAATTATATTGTGCAATTATTTTTAATGAAAAGTTACAACTTTTTTGAACATCATTTCTAATTAGTGACCCAAAAAAATCTCATGTAATTTCTTTTATCTGGTTTATTTTAGCAGCGAATGGCCCAGTGTATTTCATCTATGAACCTAAAGGAAAGTAAGTGTCTATTTTTCATTGTAAACCATTATTTATTTTAAATTTGTGCATTGTTTAATTGCTGTATATATCACGGAATGATGAACCACGTAATTCTTGTAATTGAAGGCATCGTGTTAAAGGTGCATGTCTTAGATTCATAAATTGTTATTGACTTATCTATTTCTGATGTTTAGTATGAAACTGTAAATATATGTATCTTTATTTCTGGTTTTTAGTTAAACTATTCAAAGAATAGTTTGGCTTTCATACCTGCTTGGTTGTTAATGTTATTCTGGTAAAAGTTTTGAATGCACTTTGTGTAACTTAAATCTTATCAGTCAAAGATATTTGATTGTAACGTAAATGATGACTAAAAGTTCACTGTCCAAGGCATATAACGGTAGCATGAATTTTGAGAAAATTATGCTCTGCAAATCAAGAAAATTCCTAATATTAGTTGCATGCAACATTAATCTTCAAAAAGTTCTGAAGGTAGTTAAAACTCAAGATAAGTCTTCAGGCAATGGATTTTGAATGATTTATGGCCCTTTGTTAATGTAGAAATTTCCTATTTAAAGTGTTGGGTGTAACATTTATCTTTTTAACTATTCACCATGGTTGTAACAGGAAACAGTTATACATGTCTTCAGAATTGGAGGTAATATTTCAAGATTATAGCTCTGTCAGTGGATTTTGGATTAAGCACTGACAGTAGATGAGCATACTGTCCTACCAAAAGCTCTTGTTGCAAATTAACTGACGATTTAATATGTGGTCTTTTCAGGAATTATCCTTATCAAGAATTTTGTAATTTTTTTAGAATTTAAAAACCAAAAATAAACTAAAGGAAATATAAGTTTCCATTCATGTTGTGGAATTATAAATTTGATTATGTTTTGTTTAGGAATGCCGATCCAAAGTGCGCAATAGTAATCTGGCGTGACAAGTTCCCTCTATTCTTGAAGGATGAGTTTTACACCAGATCCGAACGTCAACATTGTCTCCGTCTGTGTGGAGTTGATCCTGACAGTATGTATTAGTATAATACCAATGATTATCTTCTTGATTGGGCCACCATGGCTTAGTAGTTAAAGTTTTCTGAGTTCAATGCATTTCTCTGCGTTTCCTGAGGGCATTATTCCTGCCTGTGCCGTAGACATGGAGTTTTTGTACTTTAGATAACTTGCATTATGTTACTATGTATAGTGTACGATAGGTTGATGATAAACTAAAATTGTCAGCATGTGCCAAAATAGTTTAAATTACAAAGTCGCTTACCAGTATATAATGCTGTTGTAACCTTAATCAGCAAATATAAGTAAATATGTTGTACATCATTATATATTTTGCTATAATAAGCACATGTATCCTGTGGAGGAAGAGGGTAAACATTCTACTTTTGTAATGTTTTATTTAAGATTTATTGTTTTGTTTTATTTTAAGTTGTTGAAGCTGAGGAAGAAGAAGAGGCCATGGAATAAGTTTGTTGTCCTCGAGGCTATTACCTTCATAATGTACGGAGTATATGGCAAGGTGTATTCCTCACGTCACAGATCAAATCAACATTCTGCTAAAAACTTAAGATTCATGAGACAAGATTCAATTTACTTACATTCTGACTTACTTGTAAAATTTTGTTACTTGGTGTTTTCAAGTGTGTTTTTTATTTTCTTTTTAATATTAGTGAAGATAAAATACAGATCATTAAAATGATCAAATAAGTAAGTGATAAGATACCATTCTCGTTAAAGGTGACTTGAGAAATCAAATTTCTTGAACTTTGAATTTTTCACCTTTGTTGAACAAATACTTGTGTGTAAAAATGAAAATTTTAATACTGATTTTTGTGTTTCAATATTGTTAACATTCATTTTATCATGAGGAAATTTAAAGCTATAGAACATAAATTCTTAAATTTTATTGTGTTATTTCTCTTTGAATTTCAAGAATCATTGTATCATTACATTTTTTATATCATCATCATTTCTCTGTAATTTCATGTAGTTTTGTACACTCTGGTCTGTAAACAATAAAGTCAGTGTCCATCAGAATCATTTTCTTCGTTATGTTTTCTTTGAAATGAATATTGTTCGTACAGGTAGTAATTTCAGAGTATCTTGCAGAATCAGTTAAGAGATTAACTTTGGAAGAAACATGTATAACGTCAGTATCACTACATTGTTACATTGTCCACCTATAAAGAGCTAAGAAACTGGAAAAGAGAGTTCACCCCATGATGGCTCTCGTGGAATTACTCATACAAACATTGGAACAGAAACGAGCTTTTTTCCGAACAAGGCTTTTTATACAGTGTCTGATCTTGAATCTACATGATAGCGCACCAGAGTACAAAATGCTCGCGATGTAGGTGAGCAATTGAAGAATGCTCATAGTTTCTTACTACATCTCTTAAACCTCACAGTAAATTTTGACCAAACTTCATTGAAAAAACATCCTTAAAAGTTAAATAAATCTATGCCGGAAGGTTAAAATTTGGAATGCCCTGAAGGGATACTAAGTACATCTCTTGGATAGAAAAATGCATTTAGATTTTCTGTAAACACCTACAAAGGTGACATGAACCACCATATTTGACTAATATAATGGGGGGGGGGGAACTATATTACAATAAACGGATTATGTATCGTTGGTAAAAAGCGACGATGAGTGGACATTACTAGGTAATTTTGCATGAATTGTGGCCCTGGGATCAAAACGAGCCCGCCTTAACGTGTCCCGACGATCTACTTTCTCGGTAAGCGGTCCGGGGCAATTCTGGCACAATGTTGAATATACCGTCAGAAATTGGATGTGACAAATTGAAATCCTATTCTAGTTTACTGAAGTATTTAAAGATAGCCGTACAGAATCGGAAAAAAAATCTGAGATCTGGTGTCCAGCGTTCCTGAGTAAAATTGAGAAAACATTACAAAAAGAAAGTATTATTTAGGAAATAATCATTGCTGATGTTTCATGACTATTACAGAACATGGTGGTCCAAACCTTGCAGTTTACAAGAAACAGTACTTTTTTAGTTAATAACTCTTTCCTTTCATGAAACAAGTATCCGGCGTTAACTTCTCAATATTTCACGTGACCTATCATACTTGTATTAATATGGGCTGCAACTAATAGGGTTTAAATTGTTACATAAAATGCTTAACAACCGACGTAAATAATATATTAATTTAGTACATTGATAATTTATGCAAACTATTTCGTGCAAGAGTTGATATTAAATTGACAGTCGGAATGAACATGCAGATGACATAAGATACCTTTATTCGTGGTCTTGTACAGAATTTACTTTAGCATGTAAGGGTAGGAAGATTTTAGACACATACTCGAATCTCACATTTTAGCTCACCAGAACCGAAAGTTCAGTGTGAGCTGGGGGATACTCTGTCGTCATGCGTCAACAATCATCTTCTCTGAAACTGATGATCAGATTTACCTGAAATTTAGTCTGTAGCATCCTTGTAACAGTCACAAATATGCTAATGCCATTTCAATTTGCCCCTATTAGGGGTCAACAGAGCTAAAAATAGAAAAAAACCTTGAAACATCTTCTACTACTAAATCAAATGATGGATGATTATCAAAATTTGTCTGTAGCATTCTTAAGTAGACTTATATCATATTTGCTCATTTTAATTTGATTGTCTCCTTTTAGGGGACTCGAAAGCTAAAAATAGAAAAAAAACCTTAAGACCTGCTATAAACCTAATTGATGATTGATCACCAAATTTTGTCTTTAGCATTCTTAGGTAGTGTTTATCAAAGTTCAACGACACGAGCCGAAAACCGATTTATTTTCCTTCAGGCCAGGCGCCGACGGTTCTCGAATGCTACGACCCTACGTAACGACTTCCAGAATGTAACTGATGTGCATGTAAGCACACAAACTGTTAGAAACATGTTGCATGATGCTGGGTTGAGGTCACGGAGGCCAGCAATTCGCATTCCTTTGACACAACGCCATATTCAAGAGCGTTTGCAATGGACGCAGACTCGTGTCACATTGAACCCCGGTGCTCTTGACTGATGAGTCAAGGTTTTGTACGGACAGACGGGCTAGTGTTTGGAGAATACCAAATGAACGCTTAGCTCCAGCATGCTTTGCAGAACACGGCAGTTTTTGCGGGGGTTCAGTCATGGTGTGGGCGGGAATAAGCGCTCAGAGGAAAACGGACATGCACATCATTGAAAACGGTACACTGACGGCAGTAATGAAATCTTAGACGTCCATACACGCACGTACGCTGGCGCAGTCGGCCCTGATTTCATTCTTATGGATGACAACGCCCGTGCACTCGGAGCCCACGTCACAAACCGATATCTTGAGGAAGCAACTATAGTCCGCATGGATTGGCCAGCGAGGTCCCCGGATTTAAATCCAATTGAGCATGCTTGTTATATGCTGCAGAAAGCAATTTCTTCACGCCACGTCCAACAAACAACAGTTCAGGAGCTAGGACATGCAATCATAGAGGAATAGGCCCAGATTCCCCATCACAAGGTCCGCAGGCTCATCAGCAGCATGCGGCGGCGGTGCCAGGCCGTAATTAATGCCCGCGAACACCATACTTGGTATTAAAAACCCTACGCCAACCATTTCCTGATTTGAAAGATTATTTTTATTCCACTATGTGATCTTCAAAATGTTGATTTCCGTCCAGCACACTCTTTCCGCAACAGTCACACGTCAAGGAACACTTCCATTGTCATTATTTTCATAAAAATTAATTCGTTACGAATTATATTTAATTCCTTTTAATCAATTTTCACATTTATTACAAATACGCAAAAGTAACGCACTGTCCTTAGCAATTTGTGAATAGTATATATACTGAAAAAAAAGAAAAGGCCATCGTTAGACTGACGTCCACGTAAGCTATCCGCGCGTAAATGATTGCGTCCATTTAGGACAGAACATATTCGGTTGTTATGTGTATAAGGGGTGTTTGTAGCAGTGGCAACATAGGTTTGTGCATGCGTGTGTGTTTATGGTATAGCAGTTTTGACCAGGCATCGTGACCCGCGCACATCCACTATCTGGTAAATCTTCCGTATGCCCTCCCTGTTGCTTGGAGACGTTGCCTCAGGTTTCGAAAAGAACGACTGCCAACAACCCTAGTAACCTCATTTGTCGCCATACCAGCATAAAGCGTTCGGATGACGTTACGTTCACGTAATTTTGGTGGAATTATAGGCATATGTAAAAGAAGGAAATAAAAAAAACTCCATTTTAATGTCTTTTCCTAATTTTGGTGGAATTATAGGCATAATGTAAAAGAAGGAAATAAAAAAAACTTCATTTTAATGCCTTTTCCTAATTGACAATAAAGTCTATAAAATACGGATTCTATTTATCCGTGCACATACGAAAAAAATCGAGTCTAACGTATTTTATTTATGTGTAAAATTGAATTATAATTATTTCTATTTCACATATAATTGTCTGCCCGAACATATGTAGTAGGGCATTGGTCATGTTGATATCTTTTTCTTCCAGAAATCGCAAGTGTTTTTTCTTCTTCTTCAGTATTATAGTATTGTATATATTCATACAAGTCGCTGAAGATAAGGAACACTTATTAACATAGAATTAATTCAAAATACTGCAATGAATGTAGTAGTAGTAAATATTAATATCTAAAGAGTCCGTACTCAAGTATATCCTGCGACTCGTGCCACGGGTCCGTACGTTTATATTCATTTCAAACATTGTGTTTCTTAAGTGCGAAAGACCGGTGGGAACATTTCAGCTGAAATCGTGATGTTGAAATCGTGAATTCATGAAGATGAAATGGTAAAAGTAAAGTAATTGCATTTTAAAGTCTAAGTTTCATGCTTACGCACGTTCACCGACTTTACAGCTATTAACCCTGGTCATCGGGCTACTGGTATCTATCTATCAATCTCCCTGGGGAGTCTTTTAACTCCGCTTAGTGCAGCCGACACTTTGGCGCAACGGAATTATACCACCCTCGCAGGTACCCATTTACACCTGGATGAAGTAAAGCAATCGCAGGTTTATTTCTTGCTCGAGGAAATTAGCAGTGCCCCTGGTGGGGTTCGAACCCGGGACCTCCCGATCCCTAAGCGCGCGTGGTGAATTTATGTAAATCCAATCGTGAATTCATGAAGTTTAAAGGTCTCTACCGGTCTTTCGTACTTCAGGCATTCACTCACTGTCAGTAAGAAAGCCTACAACTGATTTATACACCATAAGCATCTTTCACCAATCATTATTATTGCTTATGGAATGGAATAATAAGATAGGCGAGTCTCGTTACCGCCCAATTGGCGGGTCCCTGAGGACGGATATGATATTCCGATCTGAACTGCAAATATATGTCAGATATTTTTTCATATTCCATCATACATAATTATACATGTATTTTAAATTCTTAACTTAATAAATTTATGTCATTACACCCGTAACTATTTTCTTCCAACAGCATACTGTATGACATTACAGGGCGAAATTACGTCATACGCAGCATGCCATTGTATAGCACGCGACTCATCTGGCACTCCCTATGCAGGCATGGGTAAAACTAACGGAAACACCAGTCTGATATGCAAGAATAGTTTCTGTATCTTTGGCTCGTAAAAATAAAGAAATAAAAGTTATAAAACCAGTTACTATTAGTCTCCCGGAGTGAGTCAGCCATATATGGTTTCCAGAAACAATTTTAAATGATGCCAACAAGGTTATAAGGTTTAACAATATAAATATGCTCCAGTGATAATGTCCACGATACTTTTAGTAAAGGAACATTTTTATGTGAAAGATTTTGTTTTATAATACGTATCTTTAAATAACTCATCATTCGACGCAGTTTATATATTATACATTAATTTTATGTAAAAAGTCAATTGCCGAAATTGCCGAAATACGAAGACTGACACTGTATGTAACACGCGAAATCCATTCATAGAATGTTATGTAGGATGTGTTTTAATCATATTGCACAGAATAAGCGTGAAGCGTGAAGCATGCTTACAACAACAAATAAAATGAATTTTTTTCATAAATCACTATATGTATAATAATAAATAAGGCCTCCAGTCTCGGCCAAGTACAATAAATGATAACTATAAATACACTATTCCCAACGTCTACGTACTTGAGCATTGTTTATCAACATATTTAACACCATGTGCTTCAAGGTTCATTCACTATAATAGCGGGTTGCTTCAATTTAAAAGGCACAAGTCTTTTGAAAAAGATTCCAAATCCAACTATTGTGAGAGCTGTTATGCAGATTAAGGATGAGAATGTAACCCTTGGGCCATAAGCATCGTAAACTTGACTGACAAAGACAGGACCGAGAGTTCGAGCAAGGCTGCCTGCAGCCGTTAGCCATCCCATCCAGATACCCTGTAAAAGTAGGAAAACATATCATTCATATACATTGTATTCTATTTAAAAATAAATTTAAAGGAACAAATTTAAAGTCAACAACCCGGTCATATGGTCAACATATTATCATAATGAACTGCCGTATAGAATTTCCTCAATTTTTGATGTTTTATTTTTATCGCTGTAAATTAATATCTTAAAATTAAAACATAATTGAACAGAATCTGGAAATTTGATAAATATATTATATCTGTTTTGAAACCTGTTCATTCAAAAAGAATTTTTTTTCATAAGTCGATTTAAGTTCATAACGAAGTTATTATAGTATTCCAACAAGTTCATAACGAAGTTATTATAGTATTCCAACAAGTTCATAACGAAGTTATTATAGTATTCCAACAAGTTCATAACGAAGTTATTATAGTATTCCAACAAGTTCATAACGAAGTTATTATAGTATTCCAACAAGTTCATAACGAAGTTATTATAGTATTCCAACAAGTTCATAACGAAGTTATTATAGTATTCCAACTAGTTCATGACTAGTTATCATGGTATTCCAACACAAACTAAACGTTAACGCTTAGTTATCTATATCATGGTAATGCTGCAAAGAAGAATCAAAACTGTCGATTATTCGTGAGAGAGGAAACAAAACTGTCAAAAAGCACTTGACTGCAATACTTTGGATGTGTTTTAATATAAACATACCTGAGGTTTTGGTCCGAGGATCTTTGAATATATACTATACGACATCACATTACATATTGGGTAACCCACAGCAATGAAAAATGTACCTAACAAAAATTGCCATAAAAATACAGCTGGTGTAGTCATGCACCACTCATAATAGTAGGGACATCCGACTGCTTCTTGGTTAGAATGATTTGACGATCTTTCCGGCTTAAATGTTATCTCTTCTGGTAAAATGGCATCTTCTACATTACTAAACATTATCTCACCAAGTCTGTGTTTATCCCCTACAAAGCTATTCTCTTGACTATTTCTTATGGTAAATGAATTCACATTCCTTTGTACATATGAAGCTGCCTGATCAGGTTCAATTTTAGCAAATCCTCCCACTTCTTCACCAGATAAGCTGAAATTTGTTTGATGCGGCACTCGCGAAAATACAAATATATTGTTGTAAGCGGATGCATCTTCATAATCTACAACAACTGTGTCGTTGATCACACTGTCGTTAATTTTTATTTCTGAAACAAATCATAAAAGTTTAAAAGAGCACACCAATCTGCGCATTATTCATGTTCACATTTTTAAAATGAGCTATGTATAATGAATACAGAATTGTTAAAGAATAGCAATAAAAATAGCTATACAAAAGTGACATTCAGGATTTTCTATACATGTACATGTATTAGTTTACATTATATGTATAACGCGGCAATACATGTATAATATATACAAGATGAGTTGACTTATTTTTTTATTTATTCATTTATTATTTTTTTTTTTTTTTTTGGGGGGGGGGGGGGGGTTAAATAATTTGTATCTCACTGAAAAGTGAGAAAATTGCAATATTTTCACGAGCGCATGTTAACAGACGATTTTTAAAAAAAAAAAAAACATTGAGGAATACTGTAATTCCAAGTCTATAGAAGTAACCTGATGACCAATTTTCGTGCAGTCCTATCTGAACTAAACAATAATTTCTTTTGTAAATTTAAGCAGTCACAAAAATTAATATACAAGCCAAACAAAGATTACTCTCAGTGAGTGATTTATTTATTAGCATGACATGAAAAGTTTCACCTGCAATTTCCATTTCAGCATATTGTATATCTGGGTAGTGATGACCCCAGGGCAAATAAGTCACAAATCCAATAAGACACATTATAAAGCCGAATAGAAGCAAATAACGTTCATTCACTCTGTAGGTAAAAAAAGTTCATAAGTTTTCATAAGCATATATATGTGTGTTGACTGATAAATTGTATGGATCACTAGCTCTTTATTACAGAGATTTTATACTTCCGTCCAACTGTTATATGCAGTTATCATTTAGAGTAAAAATATACAAAACACTTTGTTGAACAAGACTGTTTTAAAGGGTGAGAGTAATTTAAGTAAAGTACCGGAACACCTAGGAAGCTATCTGATTTGTGCAAGGGTGCATAGTCCCCTAGTATTGAAATCAGATTGCCCAGTGTTGTGATATTCTTTCAATTTTGTATCATATGCAAAAATAAAAACATTCCCCTGTCGTCAAAATATGTAAACACAAGAAGTGTTTTTAAGCAATGTACGAGCATATGCATGTGACTCTTTTTTTATCATTATCCCTATCCCTATGTCACAATATAACCCCTGTAGAACGTAGCCAATCAATTAGCATGCTCTATTTTTATACCCGACAGACAGTGTGGTAGTAACTAATACCAGCTCTCAAGTTACTTCACTCTGGGTACTAGTATACGATTTAATATGGCATGCAACGTCTCCAAACTATCATACAAGTTAATAAGAATCGAGGTACTCTTGCTATTATAAAGCATTGTATTACAGCTTTGATCTATGTGTATATAATAGTCTTACTGTTTTTAATTAAGGTATTTTTTATTGTCAACACAAAAAAACAATGTATGGTGATAAACTATTTATACGACTAGTTATCTTAATCTATACTACACACATTCATTGTTTACCAATAAACATAAAATAAGATATCAAATATACAGTGTGATACATGGTTGATACGTTATCATCTGATTAAACGTTCGTATTGAATTAGATCTATAAATTATATATTAGTGACTTCATTGATAATCATGTATAGAAAACAAACCTTTGTGAGACTATTTTAACGACAGCAAATACAAAAATGGACACAATTCCGGACACCCCAAGCATCACTCCAATGTACAAAGTGGCTTCTGATTTCTTCCAGGCAAACATATGCATAGACATAGGCGTCGCAATACTAATACAAAACATAAAAATATTCTTAGAATACTTGTAAAGACATTTCTATAGAAATTAGAATTAGCATAACAAGTATTGAAAATTACTATCTGAAGTTATCTCTCAAAGTCAGATCACAACTTATGAATAAAATTTATTTATACAAATTTGAATATGTTTAGACATCAGTTACAAAAACTATATGATATTTCCCACTCCCCATATCCCTACAGCACATATATACATGTATATATATTTACAAATCATCGGTATACATGCGCAAGTTAACATGCCCGGCAAATTAGATGTGTTCCGCATATACATGAATTTTACATGAAGTTTACTCGTGCAAGGTATTTTTAAATGTCTTAATCGGTTGACCACACACATGATTCTTGTATCATTTAAAAGCATATAGCTTAATGGTAACATTCACGCCATAATCTGTATTTGTTTCAACAATTATGTACACACTATTACTGACATATGCATCTATGCGATTTCAACAAGAAACACATTTCAATACATTATTATTATAATAAAAAAGTAAAATCCCTTACGTTTCAAACACGGCAAATATAAAGAGAACGGAGAAGAAAATCACGATTGATGGGACAACAGCATAATAATCCGGCGACATTGTTGATGTTTCCTCTGGTACTTCATGCTCTGAAATAAACACATGAACAGCTTTTACAATGATACACACCATACAACCTACTACAAATATGTCCTCAATTCATTTGTTTTTTTACACTAATTCAGCCGAGTAAGTATAACATCAGAGTAAAAAATATCATACATAATTACAGCATTCCTTTACAACACGAGGATATATTATGCAATATGTTCAATTTATCAAACAATAGAGCAATCATTTTACAATTTTACAACAGTTGCATAATTAAGGGACTTCATTGTTGCCATAAACATTACAAATACCATTTACAGCAGATTTTCCTACTTTTGCTCGAGCTTTTATGCAAGCCGGTATTTCATCTTTTACCAGCTGTACTTTACATGAAGTATCGGCTGACTGGTATTATTTGAAAGGAGATAATTTGAGCATTGCATAGTTTACTCGAACACAAAAATCAATAACTTAATTAGAAAATATACTTAATTTTGCATTACGTATTGACCCAGCCTCGTAGTTTACAATGTTAATAAATTTTTGAGTATTTGATCACAACTCGCGACTAGAAATCAGTAAAGTTAGATGTATAACTTTCATATGCATTGTATCTCAAAATCTTTGATAGAGTATGCAAAGATGTTTAGAATTATGCTCATTTTATTGATGAGTTTTAATTTTTTGGCGAAGATAAGCCGTTTTCATCATCCTTAGTGTTCAATATAAATTATATGTGGAAATATAGATACTACCTGCAGATTGTATATTTTTATATGAGAACTGATCATCAGTAACAGTGTGTTCCTTAAAGACGACTATAAGTAGGACAATATTCACAACACCAAGGACGGCACTGAACATCCCTGTAGCTGTATACATGTCAAAGTGGAAGGCATCAGTCCGTGCAGGACCCGGATATCCAATTGGTACCAACGCCGTTTGAATCACTGGATCATACAAAGAGGCACAATCTAGTCATTATAATAAATATCGTTCGCCAAAAATTGAGATGTATTTAACCTTTCACAATTAACCTTAACCTTAATAATTTAATAATTTAACCTTTCATAAATATTACACAATAGGATGCAAATGCTACAAATAAATGAGCAGTCAGCTTAGAGAATGAAGACATAACAGTCCTAGCCAGGAGTGAAGAAAAATTAGGCAACTTGCAATCAAGGTAAAGAGACAGAAAAAAAAGATGAGTTCATCTTGATAAAACATATTTTAAAGCGCTAGATTTTGAATAAGTATATAATTGTTATGTATCGGCACGATTGTCGCTCATTCAAGATCAAATATTCATAGCTTTACTTACATGGACCAATTATAAAGCCTATGGCTTGAAATGCAGACATATTTGCCATTGCTGATGTTCTCTCATCTACTGTAGTCGCTCCAGAGACATATGACCTCACAACCGCCACATTGCCTGAATGATAGATTAATTATTACAAGAATTTCATCATTTCTTCTAATTGAATCAATATTTGCATTAATAACAATCGGTAGATAGTTGATAACTTTGTTTGACACCAGTCCTCTTGTAATATTTATTTTAAGAGTGAACGGAGCATTAAAGAAGTTCAATTATGTACGATTTGTGTCCAATAATTGTATATATAAACACACAATGTCGTGCTTAATGGTGAAGATAATTCTTCAACCCTTATGTTCCTGAATCTATGTAAAGGGTATAACCTATTATCATGGAATGAAAAAGAAATTATGATCATCCTGAGATTATGAAGATACATTTGCAAAAGTTGGTCGATCAATGACGGGGTCAGGCTAATAATATATGTTGAGGTTCGGATCGGAATATCCGACCCGAACAGACCCGCCCATTGGGCGGTCACGAGGCTTGCCTAGGGACGGATATTCCGATCGGAACCGCAAGCATAATTATGTCAAATAATTTTCTTGCATATTCTACCATATTCCATTATGTTTTAAACCCTTTACCTTAATAAAACAATTTTCCATGGTAATTTATGTCAATACACTCGTTACTATTTTCAAAATTACATCTTTCATCACGGTAAAATTTCGTCACCCTAAGCTCGCCATTGTACAGCGCGCGACTCATCTGGCATCCCCATGCCAGATGAAATTTCCAGCATGGTAAAAAACTTAACGGAAAAGCCAGTCTGATATGTAAGAATAAATGGGTTTGCAGGTTAGCTTTGCTCTAAACTGTCGGCAACGCATTTATAAATTTGGTTTCAACTCTGTAATACATGTAGTTAGAATACCTGCTCCAAATCCTATGAACACTCGAGCCATCATAAGCCAAATCTTTGCATGTTGATGAATACTTTCTAAATACATGTACAAAACATTTGCCAGAATGTTGAATATAAGAGACACTACGATTGGTTCCCGCGTTTTTGACCGGCAATTTGACCACGCCCCGAAGAAAGGGGAAGCCACAAGTTGACCAACGCTATATGCTGCGACAACCCAACCGAGAAAATTCGTACTGGCCTTTGAGTCCAGCTGAAAGACAAAGTTATGGCTGCTATATACTCATTAATATCAGCATTCAATCGGATTGAAAAATTCTTATTTGTATGTCAATTTTCTTTATACGAAAAGGAAATAACGAAACTCAGACGTATTTTGATCAGACGTACACTGTATTGAGATTCTTTTTTCATTTAAACTCTTTTAAATTTGGTATTTTATAATAGAATTTTTATATGAAATATTTCTTTTACTGAATTTAATTAATCGTAATAAAAAAGCAAACATTATAATTTTTTCAATCGATTCAATAAATCGTTATAACTTACACTCATTCAAAATCCTCTATTTTTTAACTAATATATATTGTCATTTTAAATTATACACAGTATATCTACATATGTTAGCAAAAAGCAACACTTTAGTATTTGCTATGGATTAGGCAATGAAAACGTGTATACATACGACTTCCAGGTATGGGTACAACGACGACATGCATATTGAAAATGATACGCTGCTGAGGAACATTGTTAGGTACATGACACGTATAGACCGCCATCTTGATTTGTATTTTTCTGGTGGTTCAAGTATTGTGCTATGTGTTCCGCTGATACTGTGCGTTCTAAAATAATATAAATGTCAAATATATGAGCCGTGTCACGACAAAACCAACATAATGGGTTTGCGACCAGCATGGATCCAGACCAGCCTGCGCATCCGCGCAGTCTGATCAGGATCCATGCTGTTCGCTATCAGTTTCTCTACTTGTTATAGGGTTTGTTAGCGAACAGCATGGATCATGATCAGACTGTGCGGATGCGCAGGCTGGTCTGGATCAATGCTGGTCGCAAACGCACTATGTTGGTTTTGTCGTTACGCAGCTCATATTTAATCAGTCACTACATAGTGAAAAGTGGTAAATTACTTTACTTCTGTAAATAGCTTTTTTTTCTTATTATAAAACATTTTGGGAGAAACAAGTTATTTAGGTTTTAAAGGATTTTATTACCACGTTTCTAAGGATTCGTAACACAATATACATTGTATCACATTTTTATACATGTACATGTATATGCGTATGAGACACATCCACAATTAACGTTTATATATACCTATCTCCATCTTTTTAACAGCTTGAAAGGGTGAATGAGAGGGCTAATTACACCCCAAGAAGCTTGTAATCAAATGTTATTTGTTGTAGGGCTCGTTACTATGCAACGTACACATAAGGTTATTATGCCTGCTAGTATTAAACATCTTTTGATAGAATGGGACGAAGTTTACTTTAATCGATTTGGTGGGTTTACCACTCAATTTTAATACTGATTTAGAGTCAGAAGATTTTCTGCAAGTTATAAATCGGAGTTTTGTAAATTTTGTCACGTATTCTAATGTAGAGGACAAAATAGTCCATGTTAAAATTACATATAATAAATGTGTATAATTCAAAACACATGCATTACAATTGGAACTGAATATCTGTTTTATTGATGAAATGAGTGCTATCGCAATTAGAAAGAAATAAACTTTTGAACACGTACAATATGTGTTTAAAACTACTAAACAGTAGATCACAGTAAGCGATTGCCACATTATCAATTTCGCAGTTAAAATAAGAAAACTTCATGACTGATCATTTTTCATTCGCAAGACAACACAAATTATGATATTAAATGTAAATGTTCCTTCCATATCTTGACTTTGATATACTAACTTTGCCTAAGTCAAGTAAAGACATTACTGGTTATTAATGTCATTAATTCCTGAAATATGACATTGATGGAACATGCCCACAAGTTATAATGAATTGGTGGTAGTGTTGGTGGTAGTTTCCTTTCCGGATCAAGGCAGTAAGCTACATTAAATTAACCAGAGCACAGTTCAGCCACCGCATCGTTTCTGGGCAGGCTGTCAGTACTAGTTACCTTCACTTCCGCAAGGAACTGAAACTTCTGTACATACCAGTGCATAGGTACAGTGCGAAGGACCGTACAAAAGATTTCATGATCAATCACAACGAACGTGACCTGCGCAGTCCGGGCATCGAACCAGGGTCGCACGATTCACAGTCCAACGCTCTACCCATAGAGCCAATAAAATAATACTTTTTATAAAGGAATAGCAAATATACGTTTACCTTGCTGAGATTCCAGGTGGAATGGTCCGGAGTAATTTACTAGTTTCATCATCATCGTCGTCGTCATAAGATTGTTCTGTTCGTTTAGGTCCCATGTTTTAACATTGAGCATTTGTATTTCTAAATAACTTTAAAATTATGATTAATATTTTGTTATTTTCCTTTGTTTGTATCAATATTTAAAAAATACAATGTGTATTGTATATGTCTAGATACGTATATATTATTTCTTTATAATTAACACTGTGCGCAAAATTAAGTTATTTGACAAAAACATCACGAAAAGAGGAGGTTATCTTAGTAAAAGGACGATTTAACTTTACATTTATCTGAATGAGTTGATAACACTTTAACAAGTGTATGTACATGTAAATTTATCCACCCTCACGATAAGACAAACTAGTACAAAAGCAACGATAAGAATAAAATTGTTTAGATTTAAGAATACTAGAATTGTCTCCCTTAAATACGTCCCAGCTGAAACCTCAAAATATCTTGACCATTATTTTTTTATCCGTGTATTCAGGATCTTTCGAAAATCTATTTGAAAGACCCTGGTGTAATAAAGTAAGCATATGATGATTTACGCAATAATCATCTAACAAGGAAATATCATGTTGTCATTTTCACAATTAAGTCATGAATGTTTTTTTAAATTATTAATTTACGAGCAGTATCAATGTACATATGCAATTTTCGTGTAAATTCTATTTTCTTTTTAAATATGTAAAGACAAATAACTTTACAGCATTAATTTTCGTATTCACTATGCTTTAATGTATCATCATTACACTTTTATTTTCGCCTCGAAAAAATATCGAAGTTTAGTCATTATAGTGATTTAAACTGGAGTTTATGTAATAGACGCTTATAATAATAATAAGAAAAATAAATAAACGATTTTTACAGCTCAAAGGAGCAATGAAGGGCTTGTCAGAAAATAAGAAAAAAACTTAAGTTAGTCACATTAAAACAAAATGTAGATAATAGTCTTTTTTAAGTAAATTTCCAACGTTAAGCACCAAATTTTAAAAAATGTATACGGACACACTTGATGCGCAAATTAAAGAAATCTGATATTTTATATGAAATATTCGTATATTCAGGTTTGTCTGTGTATCTTATAATGGTAAATACGATATCAAAACAAAAACTGCCATTGAATGATAATATAATGATAATGTTATATAAAGTATTTCGAGATAGATAATGAATGTGTACGTCCGTACTACCATTCTACAATTTGTATAAAATAATCTGAATTAGACTTGATATTAAAACACGGAGCTCTTTAAAGACTTAAACACTCAAGCTAGCATTTTCATTGAAAGGTTATTTATTTATCCAACTAACATCATATCGGCCGTTATCAAATTCACTTAAAACGTACATAGTAAAATTTCTGTCTTAAAGCCCCGTCGCAATACCCCTACATAGATACGCCGGAATTAAGAGGGTGTACTTATGCTAAAAAGATAAAACGATTTGAACAAAATAACTTACCATTACAAACATATTCGGAATCTTAAAAGGTGTTTTTGTTTAATAGGATAATAAGCCTTGAGAAAATTAGTTCACATCAAAAGGCGGTTTTCATAAAGAGGTCATTTCTTAAGACTAAGACGAACAGACGTAAAGGACAAGCTTATGATATCTTTGTATTACAAGGCTACGAAATAAAGACGATCAAGAATGGGCATGGACGATAAAAAATTGCCCTTTTGCGAAAGTAACAAGTGTTCCTGTTTGGTGTTTGTGTTTGTTGTGGCCGGTATTGCAGCTGTTGTATGCGTGACGTTCTTAGTAGATGATGTTCGAGACATCTATGATCATGACGGTAAAGCTGCTGGAACCCCCTGGTGGAAAACTACGATAATATACCAGATCTACCCAAGGTCATTTCAAGACAGCAATGGGGACGGAGTTGGTGATTTACAAGGTAAATTTAACATATAATAATCATTGTGCTTATCTCTTTTGTAATATTTATCTTAGTAATAAATCTGTCTATATTTCATTGATTGGATTTTCGTGTTGAGGCCTGTTATTGAGATTGTGTCAATTTTCATTGACAAATCTTCTTGTAGGTTATGCGGTATCAACGTCACTACAGAATAACATTGCACTTTTCATTACATGTTTATCTTATGAGCTCTGCGATTGTCACATGTTCTCTCGATGGTGTGTGTGAGGGGAATTATTTGGGGGAATCTTCTCATTAATTTTCACTTTATGATTCTTCTTGTTTATAGTACGAAAGTGCTTATGTTTGATATACTTTTATAAAGATATTTGTCCTTTTTAGGGTACAAATGTGATTTCTTAATAAATTGACAGGAGCCTTGTATATTAAACTATATTAGTGTTTGAAATTATTTTTTGTTCAATAAGCTTGCAGTATTTCAATTAAATCGTACCACATTACTTTGGTAAATAGGCAAACTGTGAATCAGTCTAGTAAATTGACTCTTAATAAAGAATTAAAAATAATTCAAAACACTAATCAGGTTAAAGTTTATTAAATTAAATTGATCGCGCCACGCCAGACCAATTTAGTTTTGTAAATACGTATTAATGAACTTTAACCTATACTTAACGTCACGATTATCCAATGGAAATTGACGTTACAAACGTGCAATATTATAAAATCTTAAATGAGCGTATGTACATGTATTTTTACGGTACATAGTGACTATGCTGTTACAGGCAGTTTTTTCATTTCTAGGATTAATTAGTATATTAATGACTTTACTAGAAGATTTTTATTTTCAGGAATCATTTCCCGATTATCGTACTTCAATTACTTAAACGTTGGAGCTATTTGGCTGAGCCCATTTTTTACGTCACCAATGAAAGATTTCGGATATGACGTCAGCAACTACACTGAGGTTGATCCTTTGTTTGGCAATATGAATGACTTTGATAATCTAATGAAAGAGGCAAAAAGTAAAGGTAATGAAAACACGATATTGAAAGTTTGAGAGTTATCGTAAAGTAAAATAAGCACAAGTATCTCTATGAATCGGTAAATTCCGACACCCATGTTTAAGGTTATGTTGTACTCACTCATAGTTAAAATGATATTCTGGAGAAATTCATGTTTCACTCAAATACTTAAAACGTTTTAAAAAGGAACTCCACTGAGGTGCAAAAGCTTAAACACATAAAAGTCGTATATAGACCATCTGGGGCACTTGGACAGGGGGATATGCAAAAAAATGAATACGAAATAGGCTCAGGAATATATTGAGAATCGTATTTTTTGTGGTATTCTTAGCCCGTTAAAACACTTTTCAGTTCTGGGTCTTTTTCACAATTAGAATAATTATTCCGGAGAAACGGAGTAAGTGAATGATCTGAAATTTTGCACGTAGACCTTTATCAAAAGGAATACTGATAAATAAGTTCAAGTCCAGTAATGTCAAAATCTTATTGGAGTTGCTTTTATATAAGGAAGATTTCAGAACATGATCACCTTTTGATATCAGTATTAACTTGTAATAACATCTGAAAAAACAAAATTTCAAAATCAGAACCAGGTAAGCAAAAGCTTCATTTCAGACCAGATGAATTGTGAAAAATAAATCGTTTGTTAATATATGCTATACCAGATAAGCTTCAATCTTGTTATAGTTACTGTTTAATGTAGGCGATTTATATCTACAGTTTATCGTGATGTCGCTAATTTATCAATCTGATAAAACGCGGAAGAATAAGATGTGAGAATTACGAACGGTAATGTAAAAGTATGAAAAAATCCCTAACGTGTTTGAAAAGAACTCAGAATTTCTGTATATTTCAAATATTTAAGAAAGGTTGGCTGAGTACGAGCAAATACCTAAGAATTTAAGAGTTAATATTATTTCATATTTTTTGATTTTTTGATCTACAACATGGCGCTTAAAGAAATAACTTTCACGTAAGCAATAAGAAACCAGTATAAATGAGAACAGACGTTGTCTAACATAAACAAACAGATAGAACTTCAAATGATATTTGTATGGTGTCTCGTTTAGGCCATGCACGAATGTTTGTTTAATTAAGGCTATCATGCGCAAAAAACAAAAATGGTAAACATGTTTTAATCTTTAGCCTCGATAACGCGTACACCCGAAACGCGAGAAATCTTTCCCTGTAGAGATTTCGCTATTAGATATGCTTATGTTCATATGTATCAAAATCTCATGCTTCCCTCCCTCCTTTTGTATATAATTTGATAAGAAAAAAGAAAAAAGAAACATGAATACACGCACAAAACAAAAACGATGTATAAGTTAACGCGTATTTGCTAAACATAACGTACATTCATTTATACATTCAGGTATAAAAGTGATCATCGACTTCGTACCTAATCATACCAGTAATGAAAGCATTTGGTTCAAACATAGTCGTAATGCGAAAGACTCGAGCGACCCATTCTGGGATTTCTATATTTGGAACAAGGGAACCATGATAAATGGAACGAGGGCGCCACCAAATAACTGGGTGAGTAATTGCTTTAGTAAACACAACATGTAAATGTATGTATGCAGTTTATTGTTTTGTTTTTGTTATAAATTAGACCAAAAGGTTCGAAAAAAGTGTTTTCCCCCTTGTATTCCTAAAGTCAAAGTGAAATTATAAGGACTCGTAATGGTTGTACGACATTTCCTTTGCAATATTTTGGAACTCTTAGCTTTCATCTTAGTTAAATGTGATGCACATTAACTGAAACTAATAGTACTTAAAAAAACTGAAAAAAAAAACAAAGAAAAAAACCCATCAAAAACAGACAAACCAAACACACGAACAAAAGAAAGATACTGTATGCGACAAATGTGCCAAGGTCACCAGAATCTGATAATTCAACAGCAAATTAAATAATTTTCTTCATTTTTTTTATAAAAACGGATCATATCTTTTTTACAGGAAAGCGTATTTGAAGGTTCAGCATGGGAATGGGATAACGTAAGAGGCGCCTATTATTACCATGCGTTTCTTGCCTCACAACCAGATCTCAACTACAGAAATAAACGTGTGCTTGAGAAAATGGACGTACGTATATTATAAAACATGATATTTCATATGTGGAATTTCATCTCTAATATTCTCGTTAGCTATAAATAATGAATGGCCAATTGGTTATGTGAATTAGCCCAATAAAAGCTAATTTACATGACCAAAGCATGCACATAGAAAAAACAACAACCATTATACGACAAAAACTTCAGGCAGAATATAAAATACAACATGCATTCCAGAGAGAGCAGATGTTTCCTAAATAAAAGCATTAGGTCAATAAATTTCTACTCATTACACCAATATCATTGAATAAAGTAATAGCAAGAGCATCGAAACACGAGGCTATCTGATTTGTACAGATTGCGAGTGTTTTGATGTTACTTGCTCCTTTGTTTTGGTAGTCATATATTACCATGAAATCAGTCCCTTGTTGTTCACTATTTGAAAACCCAGAAAATAAAGAAACAATATCGAGATCTGATATCATTGTTCACTTTCCTTTCTCTGCCGTCACAATAAGTAAACCTCCGCAACTGGAGTGCTGGTAACTAATACATGCACTCCAGTTAATGCACTCTGCATGTATATCCTGACATATTTTCAACAAAAAGGTCCCCAAACTATGATACAAATAATGTTTTTACCCGCACTCCAGTTGCTCGTACACATCAGATAGCCTCGTGTTTCGATGCTCTTTCTATTACTTATAGTTAACATTTATATAGGAAGTAGTCAGATTTTGGATGGACAAAGGTGTTGACGGACTTCGTATTGACGCAATTCCACATTTGTTTGAAATTGCTAATCAATCATTAGATGAACCAAAAGGTGCGGTAAGTACAGTCATTTCTTTGTCCTTTTAATTCACTCATACGTCATAATCAAACAAGTAAGAGACTTGCCTTTAATATTCCGTAAAAAGTTGTACAGACATTTCCATTGTGATATTGAATTATGTATTGACTGCATAACTTCAGATATGATAATTTTCTAACATCAAGTTTGATGTTTCACATTTATTTAGATTCATTCTGAACAATCATTTTGGCATTGGGAATTATACACATTATATCAGTTTGGTATCATGACAATATTAAAATAGTTGATCAATTAATTGATTTTATTACGGGTTTGACTAGCTGTACAATTTCTTATATTTGTATGAAGCTAAATCCTACTTGCTAAGGGACGGGGAGGGAGGATCAAAATTTGGTAACTGATACTTGTACTGGTTATCAGTACATAAAGCCTCGATTCGATCTAATTGTATCTAAATAAACAGAATTACAAATTGATTATACAGTTAAAACTAACAAACAGACATTTAATGTTTAAACTAGAATAACCTTGATCTCAGTATGTAGCTTTGGAATTACCATTCAATGAAATCTTCATTATATTAACAGAAACTTATTTTACAATATAATTTATCCGCACAAAATGCAGGTTGTGTTCTTTCTTAAATAATCTGATAAATGTTTAATATATCTATTTTACCATAATAATTATGCAGACCAATGGATTTGACGAGAATTTGCACAAGTACTTGAAAAACCAACCAGAAATCTATAGTGTTGTGAAACGTTGGAGAGCTATCCTTGATACATACGAGGCTAAAGATGATAACAGCAGGTAACCATCTGCCCTTTCCTTCCAACCTTAGTTCAGAATATCTATATGAGTTAGACAATTGACAGGCCTTTCTTGCAAAATCTAATATACAAGTAAACTTTGAAGCGTTTAAAAACACTGTGGTAACACATATTGATAGAGATAAAACTTTATACAGTGACACACATACGATCATATAGCCTAAGAGCTGTGGCAAATTCAATCAAAATTTTTGTCCAACACTTCTCAATTCAAGATGGCGTCCAATATGGCTACCGATTCTATGTGAAATGGATATTTATCTTATTATGACAGATGTAGTAGCAAAAGTTATGCCGTTTTCGATATATAAGTGTTTAAACATTTTTAGAAAAAATCAAATCAAATGTAAACAACAATGAAAGACACAGCTTTGTAGGTTTTTGTCTTAATATGACCGTCTTCTAAATATCTTATCGAACGTTATTTAATTGTTAATGTCTTGCTGTAATATCCATAATGGGTCGTTTTATACAAGCAGCACATACGGTGTATACATGCATATTTCGTCATTTGTAGATTTCTCTTGGCCGAGACTGTTGGCATACCACATGAAGCCAGATTAAAATATTACGAAGCTGGCTCTGTACCATTTTTCTTCAATCTGATACCTGCAGAAGACAAGTGTAATGCAACAGCACAATGTTTCAAAACGCTCATCAAGGATGGTGTTAATCTAACAGAAGGACTATGGCCGAACTTTGTAGTAAGCAGTAACCTGGTGCATTGACAGATGTGCTTTGTTCTTATCGTAAAGATAACTAACTTGAACAAGAGCCAGTTATTAAATGTTTACTTTTATGAAAGAGTATTTAACGATTTATTTTGATTTAAGAAAAAAAAAGACTTTTCGGTTTTTAAATGCATGCCTCCAGATGAGCAAGAAAATCAAACTTGACAAAAATGTACAAAGACTTTAAGAAAAGTAAAAAGATTTGAATAATAACTTACATGTGAATGGCAATTAATGTCTGACTTTGCCCCCTATCATCCTATTTCTACTTCTATTTAACTAACGCAGTAAGGGTAATTTTGCATATTATTTGACCTCTTTTTTTTTGATTTTAAGTGCCGTTCACAATTTGTAAAGTTATTTTCTTAATCACTTCACAGTATTCATGCAAGCTAGCATGAGGCATGCATGGTAACACCCCATGCTATGTTTCTCCATTTGTATTTAAATGATGACCTAACCTGAAGACCATATATCAAAAGTAATATATCATACAACAATGGGAGAAATATTAAAGTATTAACATGACTGTTTTACATTTATTCAAACTTAAAGAACTTATCTGTTGGTAAAAACAAATAATTCAATATTATTCATTTATTTTCTTTACCAATTTTGTAACTATAGTGGCATATGTCTTAGCGAATGATACACTCTTACTTGTTTAACTAAATGCTAGCCTAAAAGCTAATTATGTGTTTTTGGGTTGTACAAGGTATTGTATTTTTGCATTAAAAGATAGGCAATCACGATAATAGAAGAATTGCTGATAGAATCGGACAAGAATATGTTGACGCAATGAATATGATGCTTTTAACACTTCCCGGCACACCAACAACGTACTACGGGGAGGAGCTGGGCATGCGCGGTGGTGACTACTCTCGAATGACACCAAGAGATCCATATGCTATAACATCGCACGATCCAGTAAGATACATTTCCTACGTACTCGTTGGATATATAACCAGTAACTAGAAAATTAATTTAAAGGCAATGAAAATGAAATGTATACAATTTTTCTTTTAGCGATTTTAACAGGTTACATTGCCCTGTAATAACACTTGATTCGTAGGTTATACATCATTTATAAACGTCACGACAATCCACACCAATTAAAAGCGACGTTATTAAAATGCAGTATTAAGTGTCTTCTATGAAATAGTTTTGTTACTTTTTTACAACATAACAAGTTAAGTACATTGTATATTAAAGATACCACTTGTTTTAATTAATCCATTGTGTTTTTTTTCTTCTTACAGACAAAGTCTCGAGACTCAGAGCGAAATCCTATGCAATGGGACACTTCACTGTTTTCCGGTTTTACAAATTCATCCCAAGGTCCTTGGCTACCAATAACTATAAATACTGAATACATGAAAGTAAATGTCGAGGTAAAGCCAGCATGCTAAATTTTGCTAATGTTTCAAATTATGACTGAACAGATAAAAAGATCCTTGTCTCTTCATAAAATCTCCCAATGCTGAGGCGGGGTGTTATTATAAACATAGAAAAATATGAAAAAAAAGATCAATAAAGGAGAATGACGTATACAGTCTAAAACAAAACCCAGTCACACAGGACCATAGGCAAGACACCCACTAAGATAGCCATCTGATAATAAAAGAAAATCTCATGCAAAAATCTTTTATAACACCGACTGCATTTCGTGTACATTCCACTTGACCTTTAATATGAAGGTAAATAAATCCTTTGTAAATACTTACACTGCTTTAAAACGTACATATTTCTAATGTCAATAAAAAACAAAACACAATGGCTGTGATGCTAATTATAATTTCAGATTGAGAAGAATAAAACTGGTTCAAGTCTAGATCTGTATAGAACACTAGCTGTATTAAGACAGAACGAGGCATTTAAAAGTACAAATATAGGTAAGTTCATATAGAGCTATATACTCTTTAGTGTAGTTTATTCTTCACGTGATGTAAAGCCTCAGCTAACGCCACGATTGAGTTCAACATCACATGCAGTGGAATTTGGTATTTATTCTTTAATATCAGACAGGATTATCTACTGTTTTACACGGATGCTAGAAAACCTGCCGTGTAAGACATTGCGTTTTTAAAATGACGTCATTCATGTGCGCCATTTATGATTGAATAGCGTCTTTAGAATAACGTCATTTTGCCGCTATGAATAAAGTTGTAAATTCATACGCTACTATAAGAAGAAAGCTCTTAATTACAATAACAGTTTTCGAAGTTTCTTTCCGAAGTATGATTATTGATATGTTATTTGCAAGAAAAGAAGCACACAACCGGCTGTCGTAATAGACTGGAATATCTAGACCTCGGGTAAATGTTTAGCGGAAACTCGGCACAACCTCGTTTCTGCCGTAAAAAGTTACACTCAAGCTACACATTACGGTCTGTACCGGCAGCCTGGGCAAGCAAGATCCTTATACTGTCACATGGCAACAAGTATGTCTCGACCACTGAAATAACGCAAACACCCATCTTATTTATATCAGATGCTGGCTTTAGTTATCAGTTAAGTTTGAATATTTATTTGTCCTGTGAAATATAAAAGATTATCACCATCCACGAAGTGTTCGCCATTGACAAGATTGTTTCAACCGAAGCCTTAGTTGTCTCGATGGACATTTTCTTTTATTGCCCTCGGTGAGATCCGATATTTTATAATGGCAATGATGATTATTCAATGTTGACAAAATATATTCAGATATTTGAGGATTATATCGCTGCTTATATCACTGAAAATATATCAAAGAACCATAGCACCGTAAGATTATTTTTTTTACTGTATCAAGAACCTGCAATACACTATTTAAAATGAAGTATGAATGGAGTAAACAAAAAGTCACAATAATCATTAAAATGTAAAAAGTCAAGCAGATAAATATATTCATTATGTAAAGATAAAGTAGGGAATAAAGTTTGAATTTTGACCTCTGTATGTCACAATACTGTACGAGGTATGATCAAAACGTTCTCTGCCCGATATACTTCTAGCCACTACACTGACATTTCAATACCAATATCTTATTGAAGATGACTGGCCGAGTTACACGCGGTTTTACACAGATTAAGTAACATAAAACACACTTTGATCAGTAGAGAGGTGTGTTATTTAGATCAAATGGAGAAATATGAAATTAGAGTCATTAACTTCTTATGTAACAAAGGGATGTCCCCAAAGGAAAAACACGAAGACTTCATGGATGCACTTCCTATTGCACTGTGAAAAAATAGGCTGCTGAATTTAAGAGGGACAGGGGGAGCATTGGACATGATGAGCAGCCTGGGCGGCCAAAAGAGACAATAAACGATGAAACTGCCGCAGCTGTGCACACATGGTCATGTGCAACAGAAGGCGTGACCTGCGAAGAATGCTAGGGAAGTGGTTATAAGCTTTGGTTCAGTTTAGAAAATTCTGACTGATGTCTATGGCATGTCAAAGGTTTCCGCTAGATGGGTCTCCAGACAGTCGACTGACGACCAGAAACGAACCAGGCAGGCTTGATATTTCAAGATATCTCTTGTCCCGCTACGAGGAAATACCTGATTTTATCTACCGGAACGTAACTCAGGATGAAACATGGGTCCATCACTTCGATTCAGAATAAAAAAACAACAGAGCATGCAGTGGAAGCACTCTGGCTCAACCCCTCCGATGAAATTCAAGAGGGTGCCATCTGCAGGGAAGATGATGGCTTCAATGCTTTGGGATAGTCAGGAAATAATCATGATTGACTATCTTGAGCAAGGTCGTACCATAAATGGTTCGAACTATGCAGACGAACTGAGACGTCTGCGTCAAGAAATCGCGTGTAAAAGGAGGCGCAAACTGACTCATTGCGTTCATTGCACGACAATAGTCCAGCTCATACATCCTTAGTTGCGATGGCTGCTGCAACTGACTGCGGCCTTGAAATTCTTCCCAATCTCCCATATTCTCTGGACTTCTCAAAGCTTCGTGGTAGACGTTTTGGAACCAATGAAGGTGTGATGGAGGCAGTCAATAAGTTCTTTGAAGATCAAAATAGAGAGTTCTATTTTAAAGGGTTAAACAAGTTGGAGCACAGGTGGGCAAAATGCATTGATGTAGAGGGCGATTACATTGAAAAGTAATACCATTAGTTGGGTTCTCTGACTACCGGAAGTACACCGGGCCAAGAACTTTTCTATCAATCCTCGTATTAATTGTTGCTTATTTTCCAGTGTTTACTGCCTTCTAAGTTCCAACATGTAACATTCTTCATTTCTGTTTGATTGTGCACATAAATGATGACCATATTTGATTCTTCCTGTAAACCTTATTTTCCACTTATCAAAGATAAGTGCCATGGCAATCGCATTACTCGTTATTCATAATTATGTTGCAAAGTTTTCACAGCTGTTTAATCGAAGCATTAAAGATCCTATAACATTTTTATGGTTTAAAATAAAAAACATGATGCTCAAATTAAGATTTATTAAGTTCCATACAGCATTATTTAAAAAGATATTACCGAATTTAATATTTCATGAAAATAAAGGGAGGTAATTAGAAATTTGTTTTCTATAAATTCTATATATAATTTAATGATAACATTTAATATGTACATATTCTTCGATGTTTGAAAATTTTTGTATTAGCATAATTATATACATATATGATTTCACGCAAGTGTGATATACAACCACAGTTAAAAATCATACAGAATATTTAATATACTTTTGGTAGCATCTGCTGCCGTAGTCAGGTCAAGGATGTATTTGTTCTAACAACTATCCATACAACCGTGGTTTAACATGTTGCATCATCATGTCACATGAAAATTTGATTAATTTAAAGGTAAAATTATTCATAACATGTTGTTTCACTTTTTTCAGATTTTCCAAAAATGAATGTTATGAATGTATTGATATATATCAGAGGTTCAGGAACAAATCGTTATTTAGTGGCGCTGAACTTGGGAGAGGAAAATGACGGAATCAACATAGCAGGTGCAGCAAAAAACGCTACATTAACATTTTCTACAAAACCTAGACAAGGTTCCTTAGATTTATCAAACATTCAACTTAAGATTGGAGAGGGAATAATTGTCCATTTGGTCGAGTAACTAATCTGGCTGGTGTAAAGAATGATTTTATACATTTTGCCTAATTATAGATGTACATAAATTTATGCATGTAAACATTATTTTCTTTATACAAACACATATTTACAAAATTGATTCATCTTTGAGTTACATGTTCCAATTCCTATCTATTTAATAATCTCGACTTTAGTTCCTTTGATTCTCTAGGTAAGTGTATATTTGCAAAACCTTATTTGTTACCTTACAAATTTTACCATTTCATGTTTAAATATTGAATCCTGGTTAAGACGGTGCTTGTGGACATAGACGGAAACTTGCACTTACCCTACCGTCCATGAACAGGTTCAATCAAACCGAGTCTGCAACAGTTTTAATTTTGTTGTTTTGGACGTTCTTTAGGGATTTTATTTTCTCCTATTTTACACATCGATGTTTAATCGATGCACATTTGAGTTGTTTGTGTTTTTCATTACACATGTTCAATTACAAGAAGATTATATTTTATAGCCTTATTAAATCAGTATGATGGCAGAAAAGTAAAATAAGCCAAGCTTATCATTCGAGTGTGAATGCTACTTTATAATTGTAGTTTCGTTTATATGTATACATTTATTACACAGATTATACACAGATATAAAATATTGTAAAATCATGCTGACTTTCTTTTTCATAAAGGCATTGCATAATAAACGTTTCTTTGGAAACCAATAAACTATGATGTCTCAATCTCAAATGTGAACTTTCCGCACATGAGATCACCAAATTTTCTTTATATTAACGATGTGTATTAGAGATCATAGCATCTTTCTCGTTTAAACCACGTTTTATTTTGACCATAACCTGTCTCAATCTGAACAATGTATTATATAGACATAGAGTTACTTCCATGGTGTATAATGTACCATATATAACATATTTAATGTAATAAACCATGCATAACATAGGCCATGTCACTAAGATTATAGCGCATTTTTTGCTTAACACCATGCATTGTATAATATAAAATGTGTTACTTAATTATAATGCATTATTATACATAGACAAAAAAGCACATGTTCACAAAGACAAGATCAGGGATAGAAAGAATTACACTACATATCACAGTAAAACCTGATCAAAATTATGATCTTTTATATTGTAAAGTAAATTATTCAATTTATAACTATTCGTGAACTCATGCCATTTGTAGTCTATTTTAAGTAACCATTGATTTCTTTAACAGACGCGAATAAAACAAAAAGCATGGCCATATTCGTTTAATAATAACGATTATAATCGTAGGTAGTTCTACGAGGGATGTTCGAAATGTATTGCTTATTTCTATTTGGAGACTTCAAATTTCAAGTTAGCTCAAAAGTGTTCATTTCATGCCCTCGAAGTACTCCCCGTGGCTAGAAATGCAAAGTTTCAGCCGATGTATCCACTTCTTGAAGGCGTCACGGTACGCTGATTTTGGGCACAGAAATAAGGTACTGATGAAAGGCAGATCCAATTGCCTGTCGGGACTTGTATTTCCGCCCAGCAAGGAAGTATTTCAATTTCGAAAAAAAAAAAAAAAAAATGGGGCAAGGTCTGGAGAAAAAGGGGGGAGGGGCGGGGGGGATTTGAGGTAAAACAGTGACTTTTTCTTTTTCAAAATCGCCAAAACTATTGCGGAGGTATGAGCGGGGGCATTGTCATGTAGAAGACGGATATGCTTTAAATCAGTGACAGGGCGTCGTTTCTTATAATACGTTTTCAGTTTCTTAAGTACTACGTCTTTGTAGTACTTCCCAGTGATACTTTTGCCCTTTTCACCGGCACTTTTATTGCGACTCCTTCACCAGTGAAGAAAACTGCATACAAAACCTTCTTTGCACTCAAAGACCGTTTGGCAATTATTAGGCGTTTGTTGTGTTTAGTGGCCCAGATTTTGTTGCTAACTTTTCTTACGGGTTCAAAATAATATACACAAGTTTCATCACCTGTGGCGACATTGGCAAACTGTTTTTTTTGGTCATATTTTGGAAACATTTGAAGCAGTTTTTTGGCCACCTTAACCCGTTGCCTCTTTTGCTCATCGATCAACAGATGTGGCACCCATCTAGCAGAAATCTTTTTGACTTTCAAATGCTTCTTCAAAATAAAGTGAACCGTTGATAGTGATATGCTTACCTTTCGTACAATATCGGGAACTGTAAAGCTGCCAGCTCCTTCAATGATATCATTAATTTTGGAAACGATTTCGTTACTAAATGCAGATTTTGGCATATCTGATTTTGGTGCATTTTTGTTGCACTCTACACTAGACTCAAATTTCTTTTTCCATCGCCTTACTGTGTCATAAGACACATAAGAAGGCCAATAAGCAGTAGAGAGTTCAGTCATCAACTGCTTCAACAACCCAGTTTTGTGCGAGCTTTGATGTAAGCCCGTATTTCATCATTTTTGTTGACGCTTCTACCAACCATTTTTACTACAGTGGTCAATGACTGCGTGTATTTAAATGGCAAATTGTCTTACACTTAGTCTAACATTCATATTTATACACGTTGTGTAGGTATTGAATTACCCTATACAGGTAGGTATTGGTTTTTATCGTGTTCCACGTGGATTACGAGATAGAGGACAATTAGCTATTCTTTTCAAACAGCCCTCGTACCTCATTTGTTCAAGTATTTAAACCGAAAACTTGAATGTAGGTTGAGTTAATCGTTTTCAAAGGGATGCTGAATATTTAGTTACATAACTTATATGTACGTAGTCATTATTATCAATTTGAAACCTAATAATCCATTAAAAAGAATAAAAAACGTTCACAAAACGTGTGCAAAGCTTTTCCACATTTTCATGTAGCAAACTGCGCATTTGTACGAAACCGTCAATCGTCTGCTGTTGCTTGACTGACCTACAAGATAAGTTTTGTTTTCCGCTAATTGTTACGTGTTTCCTCATTGTTTCCAATAAAATATCAATATAAAAAACGAGTCAAGTAAAACAAAAAGTATTTAGTTAAAAACATGGTTCAACTGCAATACGTGCAAAAACGCTGGGTTGCCTAATAGCATCGTGCGGTTACTGCGGGCTGTAATCGAATGTTGTTACATGAAATTTGACAACCGTAATACAGTTGTATAAGTCGAACGACAGCCGTTGGACAGTCTTACGACTGTTGCGTAAGTTGTGCGTCTTATAGAAATTATATCCTTTTAAAATCCCATACATGTTGCGGTTCATCCCAATGCAGCCCATGTAATCACCCTTGAACTCTCTATCCAGCTCCTAGAAGAGGGTGTGATACGGGCCAAACAACCGACGTCGCACATTCCAGGAATTGGCTCAACAATGCCTGGCCCGTCTTTTCCGGGCTTGTTGCACAGTGATAAGCAGCGCCAGTACTATTACGTGGAGCACTTCTTCTACACGAAGTCTTCGTTATAGAATACTGAAATATAATCTTTGTAGTTGGATTACCAGTCCGGTTTGATTGAAACAATGAGGGGTGCTTTAATAAAGGTGTTGCGAATTCATGTGCGCGTGCGGTGCGCATGGGAATTTTTAAAGTTGCCCTTTTCTGTAACTTACGATCTACAAATCTGTCAAGATGTACGACGAAATTGCCTGCGACCTTTCTACGGCACAGATTTCTCTACAAATCGTTAGAACAAAATTTCGTGCGGCTGATGTGATAGAGGCTTTCGACAAAGAGGCTTTCGAAAATAGAAATTGACATGAGGAGTAAAATTAAATGTTGCAGAATTGTGTTCTTTGTAAATGCGTTTTCGGCTTCGGATTCTTTTATTTTGGAGTGGAATTCACTATAACCATATGACGTTTAATCAGGTCCATGCCATTTTGAGCACTTTCAAGTTTTAAATGGCAATTTTGTAACGTTTACTTTTCACCCTTTCTCTATTTACAAAAAAAAAAACAAAATTTGTTTATAATAAAATTTCAATACAAAGTAAACCATTATTTTAACATTTCTGTGATTTTGTTTTGATACCAAGTTTGCGTCTTTCCGTTCGAGTAAGTGCACAGAATTTCCAAGTCACAATTTAAACAATTACCTTTGCAACTGGGTGTTTATTATATAAATTACACTAGCGGTTGAGAGGAAATAAGTTAAATGTAATAAAACAAATCAGAAGTTGCAAAACACACAGACTCAGCGTTGCTGAGGCAATCTGACACTTGACAAGCTATAAAACATTGGATGGTTAAGATTATCACATTACTTACTATGGTGGCTGATTTTGAACGCTTTTGTGCGTCGTATTTTCGCTAGCGACAGCACGTCAAAGCGCCAAACGACGCGTTGTCGGACTTTCGTTTTGTCATCCTGTAGCTAACGATGCACGCCAAACGGTGTGTTGTCATGCGGCGTGTTATCGCGATGTCACATTGTCGCTTGGCACAAATCGAAGGATTGGCTTATAAGCCATGCGACAAGGCAACATTGCGACAACTTGCCAAACGACAACGCGCCGTTTGGCGTGCTTTGCTAGAGACAGGACGACAAGATGATAGTGCGACAATGCGTTTCGCTAGTGACAAGACGAAAAGGCGACAACGATATAGATTGTGTTGTTGCTATCGACAACGCTTTGCGAAAATGGCACCAAATCAGCCACCACACATTACCAGGTGTTTATAAATGATTCAGTAAATACAGCTGCTCAAATGCAACTTCTCTGCAAAATTTATACATGATCAAATACGCTGTCAGAACATTGAAGAACATAACTTTATAACTGAAATTCAGTCTGATAAATTATTTAAAAATATGTGCAGGAAATGCTTTCTCCAGTGTTTTGGATTTGTGTTTTTGGTTTTAGTGAGCGCACGTAAGTTGTCTGTCTATCAAAGAGGGATTAGAGGATAAGAGAGATTTCCCAGTGTGCATATTAAAATAAGTAGACGTAGCTAATACATTACAATATATTTTTACCAATTGTACTCCATTCAGTGACTCGAAGACGTACAGGTAAATCTTTGTAGAGAAGCGGCAAAAGCTTTCTTTCTGCATCTCGATTCGAGAGTTTCGTTGGTATCGGCATTTCCTATACGGCTTAGCGGGTTAAAAGTTAACTTAGAAATACCTGACTTCAGTACTTTGGTACGCAAATATTTCTTCTATTTCGTATATTCCTGAAAACCAGCTGCCGATGCCTTGACGAAGCGGAGGGGGTTGTCATACATACTAGGTGTTCTTGAGACCCTAATACGCATGATATTGCTTTATCAGGGCTTACAGTTTCATTATTGTCACGTGTTATTTTATGTTGAGTGTTCATTTACTTCTTTACCATGACCTATTTTCGGCTTATTATTCATTTCTGCGGCTTATACTTTGTGGGAATTGCACTTAGATTAATGATTTCCACTAAGTGCTTTAATAGTAAACTTTTAAAAGTATGAATGTTGACATATCCGGGGTCCCTAATCGATACCTAAACATGCAGGTGGACCCTCATAAAGCATAGACTACGTTCATACTTTTTGGTTGAGGTTTGTTCAGGTGTGACAAAAGTGTAAACATATATATTTACCATAAGGATATTGCAAAAATCTGTGTTTTGTGTCAATGTTATCTCTCTTATGGACTTTAGTGTTTTATTATTGTTACTATCTAATAGTCTAGCACTTAACAAAACTGTTTAAACTGGTGCT